GTCACATATCACTGACCAGACACAATCGGACAGTCCATCAACTCTCAGCATGCCACATATCAATGACCCCAACACAATCAGACATTCAATCAGACTCTGTGCCTGCCACAAAGATTACAATGCTTGTTTTAAAAACCAACTGCGCGTAACCTCAAGCCACTACTTTACCACGCTGACAATATCTGTATGTTATGGGGCATTAATGATAAGACTCGATCTAATAAGTGTAATATGGTGCATAGTGTCATTAGATAGTCGATTGGGGGCCATCTATCATCACTAATAGTACTTATGCACTGAGGGAGGGTTGTCGATTTTGGAGATTTACCGTACGCATGCGTAGGATGCGGGGGGGGGGGTTGGGGGTTGCGGTGGTTCTCTGCCGAAAGATTTGTACATTTATTTATAAATACTACAACAATCATCTTGAAACTCTAACACTGCTAACTAACTGTCCATAAGAAGCAAAACATAAATATTTATTTATATCTAATGCTGTAAAAATATCACGCAATGTTTTGTATGAATTATCGTCATAATATTGCATTGTGTTTTCACTAATGAACTTCCAGACATCGTTCAAATCAGGGGGTAACCAAAATACGGTCCGCGGACCGGATCCGGTCCGCGACGTCACTTCATCAGGCCCGCCGAAGGTACTTGAATTTGTTTGATAAAAAATATGGAGTACGAGACGTTGTGATGCTATTTAAATATTATGTTTAGAATACTAGGAGATCTTCACACGTGCGGAGACCCCTTTGGCTGCTATGCGCCTTAATTTACCATTTTCAATCAATTATTGTATCTAGATTTTCTTCTGTATGCCGACCTGAAAGCCAAACGCGTTTCACAAATCTCACTAACATTTTTTTGCGGCTTTCTTTGTGAGATTCGGATATGCGCGCACTAGGTCTGACGCAACTATCTTTTTGCTAACGTCGCCTTCTTGGCTAACTTTTTTTAGTAAATAAATATGTTGGTTGTCTTTGGGTTTTTTGTTTTTTTTGTACATTGCACGCCACTCAGCCATGATTAACATGGAATACTAAACTTAGTTCTTCGTCTTCTTCCCCAGAGCTTTCGTTCTGGCTCGCAAGTACTGTACAGAATGACTATGCGGCCCGCCCGCGCTCGTCATTTTGTCAGCTATCCGGCCCACTGTGAAGAAGTTTGATGACCCCTGGTTCAAATAGTACTCAGGAGTAGTACAGTAATGTTCACCGGATGTTCAACGTGCGCGTGACGTATTTTTTTCTTCCGGCTGCGCAGTGGTTCCTACAATTTTTCGATCGCAGACGCACTTGTTTCACCATGCGTCCAGTGTTCATTTCTATTAGGTGCACTTGAAAATAGCGAATACATAGAAAAAATAACATAATGGGTTGGGTACAAAATAAATACCTATAGCACGTATGTAGGTCAATAAGCGTCACCACGAACGCTATATGTCACATAGGATCAAAAGTGGAAATACAATTATGAAAACGATGTAATATTTCGCGGCGCCCCAGTGAGGGAGCCAAAGCACCCCAGGACAGAGCCATCCCGAGGAAAAGTGGCGAAGCCGGAAAATAGTGCCCCTTTGTACATAGATGAAAGTGCGCCCCCCCCCCCCCCCCCCCCACGGGCGGAACAGTAAAAAGACAATTTGATGCGCACCTTGTCTCCCTGAAGTGTATGGGATTTTATAGTTAAATTCACTAAACTATAAAGACGATGTTGGCGGCCCGGGAAGGCTGCCCTCGTCGCTCGCACTCTCTTGGCTCTTCCCGAAGTCAACGTGGCACCCGGGGCGAAGCGATGTCCCTTCTGGGAACCATTGGGCACGCCAAGCAGTCGCTGGTGGAAAACCCGTGACACATTTAAAAATTTCTGTGACGTCATAATTATTTATCATTTACACGTATTTGACTTTCTTTTTTTTTTGGGGAGGGGGGGGGGGCGAATGCTTTCGTGTACGCTCGCATTTTCTAGTCACATTTCTCCCCCCCCCCCCCCCCCCCCCCCCTCCGCCCTTTTTTTTTTTTTACAGCTCGTCCAAAACGTACGTGTGCAATAAAGGGAGGTGGGGCTGGGGGGGGGGGTTAAAAATTGAATTATTGTGCGCACCGTACGTACTTAGTACTATGTGGATGGCCCGCCGTCAAGTCTGCTAGTCCAATTGGAGCAATGACGAATGTCAACAGAACTAAATGATTTTTGTACTGTACCAATCAGCCACGGGAGGATTATATCGGTCGGAGCCGTCCTGAACAAGACAGACACACACATAGGCCATGGTCTGGTTTGAACTTGCTATAGATATTTTAGAAGTGAAATGTCAAGTTGTGGGAGTGGGGTTTGCACAGGCTTTTAGATATGAACATGAACAGACAACTCTAGTCTAGTGGTTGCATTAAGAGTACTCGTGCGTGTTTTGTTACAAGAGTGACACGGTCTTTGGTTGTGAATCACTGCCATGGTTTAACAAGAGTCACCAAGTTAGTGTGCTAAGCAGTCACATGGCCGAGAGATTCAAATCAGAAACACTAAAACTGTTACACTAACTTATAGCTTTTTGTAACATTAACTGATAACTGTTGTTACATTAACTTACAGCTGTTGTTACATGCGAAAGTGGCAGAAGGAAAGACACGTGTCGCAGTGTCTGGCTTTGAGTAGGGCATGAGAGGGAGAGGTGACTTTGGTGTTGTGTCGTCGCCCCCCCCCCCGTCTCTCTCTCTCTCTCCCCTAAACCCCTCCCCCCCATGTTTAAATTGCGAAAGTGGCAGAAGGAAAGACACGTGTCGCAGTGTCTGGCTTTGAGTAGGGCATGAGAGGGAGAGGTGACTTTGGTGTTGTGTCGTCGCCACCCCCCCCGTCTCTCTCTCTCTCTCCCCTAAACCCCTCCCCCCCATGTTTAAATAATAATAATCCCAAGAACCGTCCCACGGCTTGAGTTGGTGGCCAATGTTGGCGTTGGGCTGTTTCTGCTTTTATCTTATTTTTTAAACCACCATTTAATGGTCTGGACTATTCCTTAAACGTAGTCTCTGACTAAGCTCTACCATTTGAGTTCCATCGATTTCACATAAAGATCCCGATTCAACTTAGTAATGTTGATGCCAGTCCAGCTCTGGGACCACTAGAGCGGTCCTTGCTGTGGACCGTTGCGATAAGGGCACGTCGCAACAAGTTACGACCACTGTAACTATTCCAATAGATCAAGGTCGTTATACAAGTAAAATACCTCTGGTGTTTGGGGGCTGGAGGTGTCTCTGTGTGTGTGTATGTGGGTGGATGTGTCTTTGTCTAAGTGTGGGGTGGAGGTGTCTATGTGTGTGTGTATGTGGGTGGATGTGTCTTTGTCTAAGTGTGGGGTGGAGGTGTCTATGTGTGTGTGTGTAAGGGGAGAGTTCTCTGGTGTTAGGAGATCTATGCAAAGTGTGATAAAGGGGTTCTCTGCGACGCGATGATAATCTGTTCCGTTGATGGGATCCCGATTATCAAACCTACATAATCATCCATGTAACAGTAACAGTGTCTGTAACTAACGCTAAGATTCAATATCTCGCTAAATAAAATTCCAGATAAATAGTAAGATTTAATTTAGTAATAATACAAGTACAAAAAAAAATAAATATATAATTACAAATCATCAACAATGAGGTAATACATGTATTTTCTTCTGTTTTACAGAAATATCTGGTGTAATTGTGATACATCTGCGATGTAAAAATGGGCGGGTCGATAGAATATATTTGAAATAGTTCAGGGGCGGTGTCACACTGGGTTTGGGGGGAGGGGGTAGCAATAATTGGGAAATCGTATAAAGTGCCGTCATTGACTTGAATGCAAGTTTTGTAAAGTACCGGAAACTTTAGTAGCAGACGGGAAGTTCACGCGCAGGATCCACCATTGGTTTGGGGGGGGGGGTATAGCTAGTCAAACACAATTTTGATTTCTTCTATACATGTTCAACAAGAAAAGGGTGGGGGGGGTGGTTTAGAGGGGAGGCCTGGGTTAGTGGGGTGGTGGAAATGGTGCAAGGCTATACACGACCATCTCCGAGCAAGACTTCTTTGAGAGTAGTTTAACACGCACGTAATGTAAAAAGTGTATGTACGCGCATGCAGTGTAATGTAAATCCATTGTGGTGTACGCACGTGTCGCCTAGAGGTGCCTGTACACACGTGTAGTGTACGCACGTGTACACGTGTGCAGCATAACAAGTTAAGTGTGTGCGATCACTCGTGGATTGGCGTGCCGCGGGCGGGTCGGGTATCGATCGATCGAACACTGACTTTCAATAGGTCCAAGAATGCCAGTGTGAAGGTAGAACGTCATGTACCGTGTGTTATCGGACACCGATATAGTGTGCATGTCATTTGCGAAGACATACATTGCGGGTAAAGGGGATGTGTTTTGTGAAGTATTTCAGCTAAAACTATTTCTCTAACAACATTTACATGGAAATAGCGACAATTCAACGGAGTTGATTTTCTAATGAAATAGTAACCTCGCCCCACTACAAAAAAAAAAAAAAAAAAAAAAAGAGCAGTTTAAATAAGATTTTATTAAAGAACCTGGCATAGTTTTTTTTCTTTGTTCTGGCAGTTTGAAGCTATGCGTTCCCGTGTAAGCCAGCGTAGCCTTAAAATCAAATCGTATGGATACAGTGTAATGATAATGCATCGCTATTTATAACTTTTAGTAACTCCCCGAGGAATTCACTTAAAATTACGATGCCGCAATGAGTTCGGTTTTGAGAGTTGTTAGGAACAACACAATTGTGATTGATGACGCCATTGGAACTCATTCGTCTTTTTTTCTTCTTTAAAACTATTTTAGTTCTTTATTGAAAAATTCAGTCCAGACATAAAAAGTTTGTAAACAGCTCTTTTTTTCTTCTCAACTTTTGGATTTTAAATTAAAGACCCATTTTCGCAGTGATATCTTTTGCCAACCCAAAAAAAAAAAAAAAAAAGAAAGTAAAAAAGACAAAAAAACCCCAAACAATTTTCTGTGATTTGAACATGACTTCATTACAAGTGAAAACATTTCCTTGGATTGCGTGCCTTCTGGTTCTGGTTTGTAAGATCCTGGAACGGTCTATAAAACTTTGATAAACCAATCAGCTTGATTGAGGTTCACCAGGAACATCACTAGCGATAGGCGCTCATCTATATGTAATGAATCCTCAATAAAAACTGAGCCATGGGAGAGCAGCAGGAGGAAATCTTGACGGCTCAGCAAAGTCTGGGAGTCAGTCTCACTTTGTTGAAGGTTCAGGTAAGTTGGCGTCCGCTTGAATAAACAGAATAAACATTGTCAGATAAACAGTTGTAAGGATTTAAGTCTAAAAAAAAAAAACCGATCACTTGAATTTCCAAAGTTGTTGTGTTAAAGGAAGGGCTGTCCAACTTGAACGATGGCTTAAGGGCCTCACCCCATTTCACAGTGCAAGACGGTGTGCAGACCTCACACTTGGGCATCAGGCAAATACATAATAAAATCTTTGATAGCGGTTGATCTTCAAAGAGAAACTCTGTGGCGTCTGCGTATAGTATTTAAACATTAACATTGTTCAAATTAGCGGGATACGGTAAACAGTAACAAATAAGGCAAGTGCTAAAATTCTGAACAATTTAATATCGGATCAATTTCAAAGGGACTCTTCATCTTTTAAAACCTTAAAAAATGCTGCGAGACAGACAGACAGTCTACAATTTTGTGATGGATAACATGCCCTTAATTTGTTCATAATATCATATTGTTAGCTATGTCCTGATTCAGATTTTAGAAGTATTTTTACTCTTAGTTAAATTCTGCATGAACAACAGGTAGGCACACCCAGTGGTGTAGCTAGGGTTGGTTTCAACCGGTGGGGTCGACACCCCCCCCCCCACCCCAGCTAGGCCACTGGGTACACTGTTGGTTGAAAATGCACCAAGGTATTATTTTATATAAACAATTATTTAAATATATTTCTTTTCAACATCTAAAACTCATCCGTGTCCAGTTTATCATCCTCCCTTTTTGCCGCACCTGCAACCAAATTGACTATTAACATATACAATGATTAAGGCAGCCATAGTCAACTTTGACTGACAAACTATATATATATATATATGTCATACTGCACAAAGCTGTGAGCCCACCTTTCATAACATATTGTCATTTTTTTTGGTATCATGCTTAGTATGTTACACAGTGAATCATTGTTGAATGTTTACCAACAATTTCAGTTTGGAAGTCCGGCAGGCATGGGCCAGCTGATCAAGTATTTCGAGTCGCAAAGCAGGCGGCTAGACAGACAGACCGTCAGGCTGCAGCCAGCGTCTTTCAACTCTGAGTTTGAGTCATTGATTAAGTTCAGTGGTGTCCCGATTTTGCCCCCAGCTGTAAGTACTTATAAATGTTTATACCTATATTTAAAACAAGATATGTGGCTGTCTGAAGAGACAGATTTAAGTGAAAAGTATCCTTCTTAATCATATTCATGATACATTCATTAAAAGATAATCAATTCCAATCAGGTTTCTCTTGCTTTAACACAATTGAATGGCGCTGGCCTTTGACGCTGACACCTTTGTTGCATATTATATACTAAAACTTGCCTAAAAGTACCCCTGAAAGAAACTTGATGGCAAATAAATTGATTTACGGCTTTAGGTCATGGACTCCCCAAGTCATAAAAAGAAATCCCAGAATTCTTATTCCCACCACTTTTCTGCCTAAAAATAATTTTTTAAATATTATTTGTACGCTTGCTGTGGCAGTAATACGGGGCAAAATCTCAAAGTAATCAAAACAAAGTAATGAAAATTTCTATGCTCTCCTATTCGGGGCTGCTGGTTATTTGTGTCAGATCTATGCTATCATTGGGGTACTCGCATGTTGCATGAAATATTGTGCTTGAACAGATCACATCAAGCCGACGGGATGAACTGTTCCAGTACAAGAAAGATGCAGTTTTATTGGAAAAAAGGAAAAGTGCAAGACAACGACGACAGCACTTACTACCTAAAGGAGACTCACATGCTGTCCAAATGCTGGTTAGAAGTTCTCAAATATTTTTAACATTTTTAAAAAATGATTTAACTTTTCTTATTTTATCTGAAAATTTAAAAAAAAAAAATATTGGTGCTTATTGGAACAAACGAACACAAATGCAATATACATAGGAATCAATGAGTATATATTGACCATTTGTCAACAAATGACAGAAAAGAACTTCAGGAAGGAAAACCAACTTTAACATTGTAAAAACTTGTCTGTTTTATTTGATCTATATCGTGATTATGCATGTTAATATTTAAAAAAAAAAAAGAAGGTTTTTCTGTATTAAATTTAAATATAGTGATTTTTGCTTTCATCTTTAGGGGAACCTGCCAGAAAGTGGTATCAGACCTACAGCAAGACAGCTCAACTTTGAACTTGGTGGTCGGGATGGTAATCTGGGCTCTAACATTTTTCAAGAAAAATTGGGAGCCACAGACTCTCTTAGTACGTTTGCGACTGCTGAAACTGGAATGGTCAGTGATGACTTTGGCCTGCAAACCATGGACTCTGTCGGCTCAGACTTCATGACACTGGACGAGGGGTCTATCCCTAAACTGTTCAATGGCCTTGTCCTTTCGTCTTTCAAAGAACAGAAAATCTCGTACGACCTTGACCGGCTTTCAAAAGCTTTGAATGTGCAAGAGTTAACTTCCACTAGTGGCAGCGACCTGAGCGACTCCCTGACAAACACGCAAGTGCTGAACGCCGAAGATGTGCAGCGCGCCCATCACCTGGCCAAGAAGTTCCTGGCGCAAAGTGGAGCAGACACCGGCGATGGCCAGTCGGCAAGTTTCTTCCACGAAAGTCAGGACACGGTGGTCGAGGTGTCCCCAGAACCCGGAGACAACAGCAACACCTCCGGTTATGTGGACAACACCGTCTCCTCCAACATGGAGCACACCCACAACAGCCCCAGCAGCTCGCCAGGGTACGGCTCGGCCAACACCAGCGCAACCACGGACAGCCAGAGAAGCAGCCGGAGCAGCCCAAAGTCGTCCAAAGGAGGGGTTCACTTCTCTTCTTTTGTGACAGAGTACAACACCAACTCCAGTCAGGTGTTCGAACGCCCCACTATGCTGAAAAAGAAACTGGTGCATGAACACATACATATAAATACTGATGGGGGCTTTGAGGGTGGGACTGTGGTGCCCATTATAGGCAAACCCGGCGAAACCAGAGTGAAGCATGTCTCGTCACACAAAGTCACAGATGTGACTGGAGCCAGCGATATGTTAACCCGGGTTTCTCTTCACCAAGACAGCGATTCATCCCCAAACACACCCCCGTTTCACACTGCATCCAGCATCCCTTTCCAGCACTATGGCAAGTCCGACGCCCATGGTTCCGATAAGGAGAATGATAGAATGGGACTGGGGCATGACACCAGCCAGGGGCATAAAAAGTCTGAGCATTGGCACAGAGAGAGAAGACACTGCGATGAAAATCCTGAACACCTTGGAACTCAGCAGTTGAAAACCATTGGACTGGACTCGTATAATATCATTCCAGATAGTAGAGTTAGAATAACAAGTCAGATTAAAGGCAGCTCTTCGGTGGCTTGTCAAGGCATTAACACCACAGCGTTGCAGCCATCTGTGGTGGGTTCAGTTCCTGGCGCTCGAGATGCTCCCTGTTTTCCAGATGCAGCTGGTGCTGGTCATGTGACATCCTCAAGTGAATCACTCCAACCCCCCATTCCACAAGCCGTCAAGGCAGCCATTCATGGGAGTCTCTCAGTCTCTGATTCTCAGGCTTCAGACCAATCAAAAGCCTTGACCTCAGGGTCCGACAGCAGTACTATTCATGGTGATCTTTCAGGTCACGGGAGCGTAAATTTAGCCATGAATATCACTGTTGCTGTAGATACTGCCGGCCACTGCAAACCAACATTGAAACAAATTCCCGATCCTGTTATGGTACATTCTGATGAAGTGGTCAAAGATGAAGCTGATGAAAGATCTCATTCTCCCAAAAAGCTCAACAATGCCTCAGATGTGAAGGAAGATTCCGATGTCAACACCCCGTCTAGGTTTCTGATCCGCCGTGGATCTTACACACTGAGCGAACCTTCACCAGCCCTGCTGCGTGTGCGGTCAAAACTGGGGGTGGATTCTGAGGCCAAAAACACCAAGCAACAAGGGAAAATACACACGATAACTGACAACAGCAAATCAGGAGTGTTAGGGACGCAATTACCTCCAGCGAATACTGAACTAGAACAAGGTAAAAACACCACATCTTTTCCCTCACAGTCTACCACCACATCTGTCCCCTCACAGTCTGAAAGTGAAGGAAAAGCAGAGCACATCAATAAATACCTCAACCAGGTTCAGTTCCAGAATTCTATGAACTTCAGCTGGGAGGCACCTCACCATGATGTGCTTGATGATGAGGAAGGAGATGCTGACACCAACTCATCTGTGCTGGAGGTGTTAAAGTAAGTCAATGCATTTTGTCACGGTGGTTCCTTTTTATCACACGTTAGGATTCATCTGCAATAACTTCCCCTTGGACTTACCCGATTGCCCAACATTTTATTAATAGTGCATGTTTCTGAGGGCGGGGAAATTCGGGTAAGCATCCAAGGAATGCCATTATGACATTGATCACTGCATTGGCCATACGCAAGATTAAATTCATTTCAAATATTCTAAATCATTACAACAAAGGGGTTAGATAAGTGGGAGAGAAATTGAATCTATAATTAACATAACCCTATAACTGTCATACGGGCAGATGGACAGCCTATGCCACAATTTGTGGTGTCACGGTCCATATATTTGGCTACTAACAAAATCATCATTAAAAATGCTAATGTTTTATTGTTCTTGGGTTAATGGGAAATTACTCTGAAGAAATGAGTTTGCTTCATGTTTCCGATTCTATCTTTGTGTCAACATGCTTTAATCAGGGCTTGTTTCGTGATTAATTGGGTGTGAAGTTTTCTCAATTTTCTTTACTGCTATTATGTCTGGTGCTGAGGAGGGTCCCCCTCGAGATAGCAAAATCAACACAGACTTTTTTTATTGGAATTATTTCAAATGGATTAAAATAATAATAATAATAATAAAGTTCATTTAAAAAAACACGCTTCATCCCCAAAGGCTCGAAGCGCGGTACAAAGTCAACAAAAAACATATCTATAGTTCACCACATTTAAAACAAACACAACACTACAAAAACTAATTACAAGCATACAATATCAAAGTCTTTCTAGCCATTTCAACCCGGAGCAACACAGCAACACAAGGAAAATAAGGTAGACAATCATCCCAGAAGGTATTTGCGAAATAGATGTGTCTTTAGATCTGTTTTAAAGGACTCCAGTGTCTGGTTGTTTCTAAGATCGACAGGAAGGGCGTTCCAAATTGTTGGACCAGCAAATGCGAAAGTGCGCTTTCCGTAAGTCTCAAGGCAAACACGTGGTGTCGAGAGTTTGCCACTATCGGATGAGCGGAGCTCTCTACTGGGTACATAAGGCGTCAGCAGCTCTTTCAGATAGGACGGCGCCAGGTCATGTAAGCAGCGGTAGCACAAAGTTGCGATTTTGTACTCTATGCGAGCACGCACCGGCAGCCAATGCAACTCTCTCAGAAGTGTTTTTGCATGGTCGAATTTGCGTTTGCGGAGAACTATGCGAGCCGCATTATTCTGTGCTATTTGAATTTTATCCAGGAGCGTAGCTGGAAGACCCACCATGAGAGCATTGCAATAGTCCATGCGTGATAGCACAAATGCAGACATCAGCCTCTTTGTTGTATCAATTGTTAGGAAGGGCCTGATTTGACTAATCCTGCGCAGCTCCAGAAAAATCGCCCTGCATAGCATGTTAATATGACTTTCAAAAGTTAGTCTTCCATCTAGGTAGACACCCAGGTACCGCACTGTTTGAGCTAACTCAATACGCACACCTGAGAGAGTAATGGATGTCGTGTTATGTGCAGATTTCTGCTTCTGAGCGGTCGCAATGGGGAGCAGCTCAGTCTTATCATCATTTAATTTGAGCTTGTTAATGGTCATCCAGTGCTTTACCGACTCCATTGTCTTCTGTGTAATACTGAGCAGCTGAGGGAACTGAGAAGTGATCACGGATTGATGAAGTTGTGTATCGTCCGCGAACATGTGATACAACATGTCAAACTGCCTGATCTCTGCACCCAGGGGCTGAATGTACATCGTGAAAAGCATCGGGCCTAGGACCGAGCCCTGGGGTACTCCGAATTCGAGATTAGATTTCTTCGAGGTCAAGCCGTTTGAAATAACCGACTGGACCCGATTAGTCAGATACGATCGGAACCAACACAGGACGGTATCAGTGAGACCGAACGTTTGTTGCAGACGCTGGAGCAGTATGCCGTGGTCGAGCGTATCGAAAGCTGCCGATAAATCGAGTAAAGACAAAATCGATACCCGGCCCTCATCACAAGACGACAGAAGGTCGTTTACGACGCGCAACAGGGCTGTCTCAGTAGAGTGATGCACCCTGTATGCTGATTGGAATGGTTCAAACAAGTCAAACTGAGTGAGGTGATCCAGGAGTTGGCGGAGAACGACTTTTTCTAAGATTTTAGAAATAAATGGTAGATTTGAGATGGGGCGGTAATTTTCCATCATATTTGGGTCAAGATTTGATTTCTTTAATAGTGGAGTGACGATCGCCTCTTTAAAAGATGATGGAACAATACCAGTAGCTAAGGACTGATTTATGATATAAGTGATGAAAACAATGATTTCAGAGATATTCCATGTGCTAGTAATGACAGGATTAGGTCTAGTGGTGATGGCGACATAAGAGTCAGATATTGTTTAGTACTAAGCTTTGTCAAATTGGTACAGGTAAATTCATTTGGGAAAGGGTGGACATTGAACAGAAAAGACGCAGATTGGATCCGAAAGACCTACCCCAAAGAGATTCAAAGACATTTATTGTTCATGCATGTTCTGGAGTATTAATTAATTTAAAAAAATGGATTTAACAGCGTCAGTTGAAAAGGAATTTTAGACTTCATTTTGTGATTTCCCCTTTGTATTTTGTTTGACGGATAGATGTATTGACAGACATTTGTATTGACAGATAGATGTATTAATAGATAGATGTATTGACAGACAGATGTATTGATAGATAGAACAAAATAATGAGATTGGGGTGGGTTAAATGCAGTAGTTTAGAATTTAAAATTTAGTTGCTCTGTCAAGGTCAGTACCAACAAACATAATCCAACATACATAATTAAAAAAAACAAATACTTTTCATACCATAAGACACCTTGTCCCATGTACTTTCAGCAGATTCATACTTGTAAAGGTCTCTGAATTAATTTATTATGGGATTTTGTCGTTTTTTGATAAGCATATGTAAATGATGAAAGTGGCTTGACACCACATAAAAATGCACTTGAAATTTATAGGGTTAATTAAAATTGTCTGTTTACACTTAAATTATTGAATGTGGTTGCTTTCTGGGGTATGTGTGAAACATAAGAAGCTTCTGAAGTGGGAACTTTGTACTTTGGGTCAGTGTTAGTTTGAACCCCTACTTTCATGCCTTTCTTGTGTTGATCACTTTGCCACCTGGCGATGTCATACTATTCTTGTGTTGATCACTTTTCCACCTGGCCATGTCATACTATTCTTGTGTTGATCACTTTTCCACCTGACCATGTCATACTATTCTTGTGTTGATCACTTTGCCACCCGGCCATGTCATACTTTTCTTGTATTGATCACTTGGCCACCCGGCCATGTCATACTTTTCTTGTATTGATCATTTTTGCATACCTGGCCACACCATTGTTTATGTTAGGTTTCCATTATATGTCTTCAGGTCAATTGCTGAGAGTCAAGGCAGCTTGGAGCAAGTGACTGTGGAAGAGTTGCTGTCCCTGCATGAACAACAGATGGAGCTGAAGAGACAAGATTTGATCAAACAACAGCAGAGGGACATGGAGGAGCTCTTTGTTCAGCAGGTTAGAATTCTGGAAAGAAAAAAAAAAGGTTTAACACACATTTAACTTTCTATTCTTTAACTCTTTAGGTGCAGAATTTTGTTAAAAATGTACATTTTTTCGAAGAGTGAAAAAGTGTGAGGTTGGGTTTATTAAAAAATATTTAGAATATTATACTTTGGTTTATAAGACTAAACTTGGTATCAAATGAAAGATACTTGAAAGGACTACATCTTTGTAAACTTATTTCTTCAGTTTTAATAAAATAAGTTACTGAAAAGAACCATAAAATGTGAAAACATTATATTATGCTAAATTATTTTTTCCCCAAAACTTATGATGTACGCATACCTCATCTTCACTTCTATAACTCAAATCCTCTAAAACTACTACTATTGAAATCATGCAATGGATTTAAATATAAATCATCTTCACTATCAAAAGAAATAGTATAAAACAATTCCAAAGCTTTTTGAGCTGTTAATTGTCTAGGAAACTTAGTCACCTACTAGGGCCTAGAGTAGCCACAGTAATTGTAGGAAAAAAGTGAAGAAAATCATTAAACTAATGCTTCAAATGACAACAAATAAACCTTGGTTTAGCTTAGAAACATTGAAGTACCACTCTTCTATGTAAAAGTCTTATTTAAAAATAGCTCTTAAAAGGTTTAACAGAGAAGTAGCAAAGAAACAAACATGATATTGAAACAGCGCGTTGGTCCGTGCTTTTGCGAACGGCGGATGAACGCAGTTTGCGTTAATCCGCATTGAAAGAGTTAATGGAGATCAATTTCACCACTGTAGTCTATCCTTTCCTAGCCACTTATTTATCACATAAATAAATCTTTCTTCATTGCCATTTATATTAAAGCTATTTCCAAACATGATGCAACACTACTCGAGTGAAAAAAAATCACACTATCAAATTTATTTTTGTGGAATAGGAAACTGTTAAGCTCATATTGTTTGTAAAAGGAATATCATAAAAAAGAACGGTGTTCTAAAAAAAGCAAGATTTCATTTTAAAAAAAGGAGCAGGGTGGAAAAGAGGGTCATATTGTCATGAAACAAATTTGAGCCCAAGTCAAAATAGTTATCACTGTCGTTAGCAGTTTATTTATCACTGTAGTTATCATTCTAGTTATCACTATCACAATCCAATTTTCAACAGAGAAGGGAGGTGATGTTACTCGAGTCAGAAATTCAAGCAGCTCAGCAGCAGGAGAGGGAACAGCATGACTTCCTTTTTCAAAATGCTCCTGAAAATATCAAAGTGAAAGCCAGGAACCATGATGGAGAATTCAGCCCTGAGCAATCTGGGGCCTACACCAGCCATGGTGATCTCAAACACGCCAAAGAGGATCACCCGAATAAAGTAACCCATGTTTCGGACGGAAGGGTTCATTATTCTTCCCTTCATCTCCCAACTGATGCCAGTTCCTTGCCTCATCCTCAGGCTCAGCCTAAATCATACCCCGAAGATCGCAATCGAGAAAAACATAGACAAAACACGGGGGTATCTCACTTGAAAAGTGACCAGTCCAAGAGAAAAAAAGTGGACAAATCCAATGATGAGTCACAGACTCAAGTCAAAACTGTTGCTGATGGCTCTGATGCTCCATCGCCCAGAAGTCCAGCTGGATTAATCAGCAAGATCCCAGAGTTCAGTCCCTCATCTTCATCACCACGTATTCACCGCCCTTTGGTGCTAAGATCACCTTTAAAAAACATTTGGCTCTCCAGGCAAGAGGGAAAGGTTGTTGTGCCTAGTGAGGTTTGTGTGCTATCTTTAATTTTTATAATTAAAGAAAATAATAATATTCTTGTGACTAATCAGATCTGTTTACTATTTCAACTTTTATAACGATTATATTTCTAATGGTAAATTAAAAATAAATAAATATCCTCATTGTTTGTAGAAAATGTTAGAAATCTTTATGTGTAAAATTATGTTGTTAGCTATGTCATAAGTTGTATAATTCATGACAGGTCTCTAACACTACATTTCTATGTCTTCTTCTAATGCACAGCAAGGGTGCACACGATAAGAAGCATTTTAAAAAAATGGAATTCAGACTTAGCTCCTGAAAACAAATTTCCACCTTTCAGCATCCATACCTTAGATATCTTGTGTTTAAATTGTTGTAATTGTAAAATGTTGTCTTCGTTAAAACATGTATTTATTTACGCTCTGAAGAGCGTAATCAAAAAGATTTCTATTTATTTGAATCTATAAAAGAATTGTATCTTAAGTCATTTCAAAATAAATGATAAACATTTACACTTGAGGCTTTCACTGGTAGAAAATCTTTTCTTTTCTAAATGTAGATCCACCAAATTACAGTAATAGCTTAAAATACAGTAAAATCTTCTGTTTGCATGATCTAATGATACATTTTTTATATGGACGAAAGAGATTAATGTAAAGATGTGAAAATGACAGTTTTGACTTAAGTACACTTAAGGTTACCTTAGTTGGTAATTTAGTAAGAAGCAATTCATTTCATCTTCAGCTGCAGTTGTTTTTATTGTGTTTTTTGTTTTTTTTTGTTTTAGGCTCTCCTGCCTGAACTACAAGCCAAGTTTGCGAGAGTGAGTGCTGTTGCTAAAGGGTTCCTGACCCGCTGCTTGCTGAGGTCAGACAAGGTTCAGGAACTGATCAAAACCATTCATGTAAGTGTTAGATGCCTTGATTTCATTGACTTTGATATAAATACCAAGAGATTTTATGAGCCAGATTAATGTATGTATGTTTCTCTCTTTCTCTCAAGGACTTAAATTTAAAGAAAAGAAAGAAATTGTGGTTCTTTATTTGATCACAAAACAAAGAATATAACTGAAGCAACTAGCAGTTTGGAACCATCCATATAGTTTTGTACACTTGGATCATATTCCATATGTGCCTTTGGGTCTCTGAGGCCATGGTGAACAGTGTGCACACTCTCCTCAGCTGTTCTATGTTAATAAATAGGGTGATATTGTATTATCATAACCCCCATAGGGTTATATTGTATTGTCATAACCCCAAAGGATGATATTGTATTGTCATACCCCCATTCTCCGCTGAACCAATAAGCTACCTCCTATTTTCTTTTCATTTGACCACTTCCCCTCAGTGCTTATGTCATATAAGGATGACCTTTTCATACTCATATCTGTAACAATAGGTTTTTCTCAAAATTTTACAATCAACGACCCATCCGATTCAAGATCAAGCAAGTAGCTTGAATAAAACTCAGTCTTCATTAGGGTCTGTGCTGTGAGCTTCACATTTTTTCTTGAGGGCCCAGAAGAGATGCGCACATACACTCACACATTAGGGAATGACAAATGTATTTAGACAAATGTTACACGGTAAAAGGAATGAGAAGAATCTTTAAATAAGGCACAAACACAAATATTTTGATTACTTTAATTACCATCTTATGTAGTCACAGACACTCTTTGCTAACTCCACAGGACACTCGGGAATTCGCCTTCAATTTCCAGACGGAAACACCTATTAAAAAGGGAGTTTTTACATCACAAGATAGGGCGTTATTGGAGCGAATTATTGCCCAGGTAATTTAAAAAGATAATTTTATTTTCACATAATTAAAAATATTTTTTTGAATTTTTCAACCTTATTTTTGTTTAAAACTTAAATTCAAATTCATTCCATCAATGATTATGGGACATCATTAAGGTAAATGTTTTGAGAGTCATGTGGATTGTGCTACCAATTAACCAAAAACAATCATATAATTAATTTGTTGTTTATCCAGCTTCAGGCTGCATTGCTTGACATACATGAGATCTTCTTTGAGATTCCTTGCTGTGAGCGTATGGCGCTCATTGAACAAACACGTATGAAAGAATATGAAAAGGCAATGAAGGCCGTAAGTTTACTTTACTTTTGAACATTATTGTGTTGGTAATTTATTACATGAAATCAGGCAAACTCACCCTCTTGTAGTCATTTATTACATGAAACTAGGTTAACTCACTTACTTGTAGTCATTTATTACATGAAACTAGGTTAACTCACTTACTTGTAGTCATTTATTACATGAAACTAGGTTAATTCACCCACTTGTCATTTATTACATGAAACTAGGTTAACTCACTTACTTGTAGTCATTTATTACATGAAACTAGGTTAATTCACCCACTTGTAGTCATTTATTACATGAAACTAGGTTAACTCACTTACTTGTAGTCATATATTACATGAAACTAGGTTAATTCACCCACTTGTAGTCATTTATTACATGAAACTAGGTAAACTCACTTACTTGTAGTCATTTATTACATGAAACTAGGTTAACTCACCAACTTGTAGTCATTTATTCCATGAAACTAGGTAAACTCACCCACTTGTAGTCATTTATTACATGAAACTGGGCAAACTCACCCACTTGTAGTCATTTATTACATCTAACCTTTACATTGATGAACATTTTAAGAATTTATCTGTCTTCATTTCTCAGTCTCAGGATAGTGCAAGAGGTTCTGGTCCAAGAATCAGCCAGGCTACGCTCAAAGCCCTAGAGAGAAAGAGAAAAGCCAGGTAGGATAACTATTGTTGAAGGACAGAACCAGGTACCAATGTGTAGCTCATTTACTAATCAGTGGCCATCCTTAAATGATGTCACTCTATTTTGGCTGATTTTTTTTGTTTTTTTTTGCCCCCCCCCCCCCCCCCCCTGCTGACCACAACTTTGTATACGTTTTTGACATGACATCATTTATGGATGATGGCCCCCCACAGTCTCAAATGTTTCTTACCAAAATCTGTTGTTTTTTTTTTGCCTTTTTCTAAGAATTATACATTTAAAGTGGTAATAAATATGTTACAGGTTTTTTTTGGGATAATTTTAGTGTTTTAAATCTTTCAAGAAGTTATTTAATTGAATTGAAAACATCCTACAGAGAAGCTGAATCAACAGTAAATATGAACTCATCCCGTCCCAAGACTGCCCCATCTTCAATCTCTACACATGCCAGACCACACAACCAAACAGACTTTAGGTAATTTTTAAAAATTCGTTATTGCCAATGGTGGAATTACAGCTGAAATGATTAAAAATGGAATTCACAGTGTCGCCGGCGTTGCAACACACTGGTCTTGTGTGTGACATGGTGCCTGTCAGTGTGTGCTACAAGTACATGATGAGAAGATTCTTTCATTGAGCCAAATAAAGGGAAATGTTGGTTTTTTTAATTGTATTGTACATTGGTTTAGGTAGAAGGAAATATGTAAAGTAAGGTATGGGAAAAACCTGGGGAAAAAACACCAGACCATTATTACGCTGAGGAAGGCTTCTTGCTGACAGGCTCGTTGCAACCTTTTTTTTTCTTCCAGGTTGTCCCATACCTTGTTTGACATATTTCCTGCAAGGAAGTACATGGAGTATGTTTCAAAGAAGAGACTTCTGAAACAAAATGTTATTGATGAGACACATTTTTTCTTAACTCTTTCGATGCGGAAAAATGCACAGTGCGTTCATCCGCTGTTTTCAAAAGCGGACCAATGCGCTGTACGCGCTGTGCGTTTTTTCAGTATCATGTTTGTTTCTTTGCTATTTCTTGGGGAAACTTTTTAAGAGCTATTTTTAAATAAGACTTTTAAGAGTGTACTTCATTGTTTATAAGCGAAGGTTTATTTGTTGTCATTTGAAGCATTTCTTCGCTATTTTTTTCTACTGTTGCTATGGCTACTCTCGGCTCTTGTAGGTGAGTAAGTTTCCTAGACGATTTACAGCCCAAAAAGCATTGGAACTGTTTTATGCTATTTCTTTTGATAGTGAAGATGATTTATATTTAGATCCATTGGATAATTCCGATAGTAATAGTTTTAGAGGATTTAAGCTATAGAAGTATTAGAAATGAAGATGAAGTATGCGTACATCATAGGTTTAGGGAAAAAAATGGTTTAGTATATAATGATTTCCCATTTTATGGTTCTTTTCTGTAACTTATTTTATTTAGACTGAAGAAATAATGTATTCCTTTCAATTATCTTTCATTTGATACCAAGTTTAGTCTGATAAACCAAAAAATAATATTTTAAATATTTTTTTTAATAAACCCAATCCCTCACTCATTTTTGCTCTTCGAAAAAAAATGTACATTTTTTCGATGAAAAAAAGGTACATTTTTTCGATGAAAAAATTCTGCAGCCAAAGAGTTAACAAGCAGTTCTTTTACCTGAGGCTCATCAAGAAAACATTTAAATTTTTTCCTTTCAATTGTTTCCTTGTGTTGTAAAGTGGAACAAAAATGTGCTAAGCTATAATGTGAATTTAGATATAATGGGGACATGGCATGACTCCCAAATTTTCTTTAATCATTTTAAGATGCATTTATTATTTTTTTTTTCAAATACTATGGGGGAAAAAAAAGTATACAAAATATTTTACTTTATTTTCGGGATGAGATTATATAGTTCTTTTTGAATATAATAACAGCCCCCCCCAACCCCTTCTTTTTTTTATGTACTATAATAATATGGGGAGGACTGCATTCAGGTTAAAGCAATAGGAAATATCACTGTCACAAAAATAGGGGAAAACATGAAAATAAAAATAAAAAATAAATGACGAATGTTTTCGACTGATAAGATGAGCCTTTGAGAGTAAACAAAGAGGAGCAACAGAAAGATATGATTAGCCTTTGACGGTAAACAAAGAGGAGCAACAGAAAGATAAGATGAGCCTTTGACAGTAAACAAGGAGGAGCAACAGAAAGATAAGATGAGCCTTTGACAGTAAACAAGGAGCAGCAACAGAAAGATAAGATGAGCCTTTGATAGTAAACAAGGAGGAGCAACAGAAAGATAAGATGAGCCTTTGACAGTAAACAAGGAGGAGCAACAGAAAGATAAAATGAGCCTTTGACAGTAAACAAGGAGGAGCAATAGAAAGATAAGATGAGCCTTTGACAGTAAACAAAGAGGAGCCACAGAAAGATAAGATGAGCCTTTGACAGTAAACAAAGAGGAGCCACAGAAAGATAAGATGAGCCTTTGACAGTAAACAAAGAGGAGCCACAGAAAGATAAGATGAGCCTTTGACAGTAAACAAGGAGGAGCAATAGAAAGATAAGATGAGCCTTTGACAGTAAACAAAGAGGAGCCACAGAAAGATAAGATGAGCCTTTGACAGTAAACAAAGAGGAGCCACAGAAAGATAAGATGAGCCTTTGACAGTAAACAAAGAGGAGCCACAGAAAGATAAGATGAGCCTTTGACAGTAAACAAGGAGGAGCAATAGAAAGATAAGATGAGCCTTTGACAGTAAACAAAGAGGAGCCACAGAAAGATAAGATGAGCCTTTGACAGTAAACAAAGAGGAGCCACAGAAAGATAAGATGAGCCTTTGACAGTAAACAAAGAGGAGAAACAGAAAAACTGAGCTGATGGTGAAAGCTGTGCACTTACTCAAAACCTAAATTGTTTCATTTTGTGATTTTGTTTAAGATTTTCCCTACTCTCTGTTTTATTTCAGATTTTCCCTCCACTCTGTGTTTTATTTCAGATTTTCCCCCTACTCTGTGTTTTATTTCAGATTTTCCCTCCACTCTGTGTGTTCTATTTTGTCATGTCTATCTTATGAATAAATAAAACATCACCATAAACAAGGTCCTACTGTATCTTCAACAGTGGACCATTAAGAAGACATTTTGGTTTTCTCATCAACAGGGCACTGAAACCTTTGCAAGGTCAGAGCCATTCGCAGGTGCCGCCGCTGAGCCAAAGGTAAATTTAGAAACTCGTGAAAATTGCAGTAGTTAGATTTTTTAATCAATTAAATCGAATGAGTGAATTGTATTTATTTTAGTAATTATTTATATGGTGTTTCTTATAATTATTATACTCATGTTTGTTTTTGATCAGATGCAAACAGAATAAATGTTAATAGAATGTTTAAATAATATTTCCTTTCTAAATGATAATTCTTTTTACCTTCAAGTGTTAAAACTTTAAGGATTTGTACTTTTTTAAAAAGTTCAAAACATTAAAATGTCAAGGATTTGTATTTTAAAATTTCAAGTGTGTAAATTTCAAGGATATGTACAAAAAAAAAAAAAAAAAAAAAAAATAATTTAAAACTTTAAGGATTTGTACTTTTTTAAAAAGTTCAAAAAATTAAAATGTCAAGGATTTGTATTTTAAAATTTCAAGTGTGTAAATTTCAAGGATATGTACAAAAAAAAAAAAAAAGAAAGAAATAAGATTATTATTAATCTTTAGATCTGAAAAAGACAGACCACGAACTGCCCCAGAGAAACAACTGACCAAGCCTAAACGCATTACGGCCCCATTTATCAAGCCAGCCCTTTCTACCACCACTCTCATAGAAACAAACAAGGACTTGAATAAAGATGGTAAGTGACATGTGAACATCTGTTTCTCTGGATTCTAGTTCACAATGAAAACTTGAGTTATTTTTAATTGGTAATCATGAGATTATCATTTTAACATATGAAACTTGAGGTTTTTTTTTAATATGTCTCCCAGAACTAAGGGAAAAAAAAATAAAAGCAATAAATTATTTGTAAAAAAAAAATTAATCTCATTTGTATTTTAAAATTTGACAGCAGTTGCCCATCAGGGAACCAACAACAAAGCAGTGACCAAGAACAAAGTAGCCATCAGTAAACAGTCTTCAAGCAAATCAGGAAAATCGTGGAGATAATCTTGACTGATAATCTTGACTTACTTCATTAAACTATTGTCGTGTTCATCAAGGCCTTACTGTTAACATTCTTTAATCTGTTGTAGATTTTGATACATCCAGCTTTTTGCAGCTGTGCCAGGCTATTGCCAGCCTTATCTTTTCATCAGCTGATGTACATAATATATCTTTCTTTAGACTCCTTATGGGGGATGGAAATATCCATGTTTATAAAGTCAGAAGCTGACTTTAAATTAAGAAGGTTTAGTCAAGCAAAGGGTTGAGGCCACGCTATTGCAATGTGTGCTATGAACTACATGACCTATCGAAAGGTCTGCTATGAACTACATGACCTATCGAAATGTCTGCTATGAACTACATGACCTATTGAAAGGTCTGCTATGAACTAACTACATGACCTATTGAAATGTCTGCTATGAACTACATGACCGTCCATTCCATGTCTCTCAATTTGTAAAAACTATCCCCTTAGGTATTTATTTTCAAGAAATATTTACATTTGAATGATAATTGTAATTTTCATATTGTTGTCAAAGGACAAATGTTTCTACAGTTAGACAACTTGCCTTATGTTTCATTTCTGTGATTGTTTACCTTTCAGCCCGTGCTCATTTTGATAATTTTTTTAATGGAACTCATTAAAAAATAAATATATTTAAGCAACAGCCAGTTCTTGTTATTTCTTTAAAAATAAACAAAGATAATATTATATAGCACTAATAGGTTCTCATGAGCCATTTAATTTGACTGGTTTTTTTTTATGTTAGTGGAACCTAATATTCAAGAAGTCTTTTTAAGTAAAATAACTCAATAAAAAATTTAGCATAGCTGTATTTTCATTGTATTATAAATGCTCATAAAAAAAACAAATTAAAAATTGAAATAACTTATTGTTCTGCTTGATATGACAACACCCCCCCCCTCCCTACATACATACATTTTAGCATTAAAAACATAAAAGACACTTTTAAGACACTTGAAAAAAAAAAAATAAAATTTAGAAAAAATAAAAAAAAAAAATTAAAAATTAAAATAAATTATTGTTCTGCTTGATATGACAACACCCCCCCCCTCCCTACATACATACATTTTAGCATTAAAAACATAAAAGACACTTTTAAGACACTTGAAAAAAAAAAAAAGTAAATGTTGGAAGCAATGCGCTGCAAATTTGAGCAATATATTTATACCTTTAAAAATACAATCATTCCACCAAGGCAAGCTTTTGAAAAAAAAGAAATACCCAAGACAAATCTTTTACTTGATTAATGTACACAGTTATAAGATTATCAAAAATACTTGTGACACCCTACTTTTAAAATTGTATTACCTCAGATAAAAATAAGCATTAAAAACATCATTTTAATTACTTCAAAAATAAAGAGCACATGCAATTTAAATTTTTGTTAAATACTAAAAGTCATTTTTACTTGATGATTAATATTGATGATTGTGTGATGTTTATGTACAACATATGAAATCAATCTCAGAACAATTTTAAGTGGAATTTTTTTTAACACAATTTCTATGATTTTAAAATGTTACAGTTATAGTATGCATAATATGTATACATTTCCCAATTCCTCCCCCCTTTAGGTATGAAGTAAGCATCATGTAAATTTGCCCTAAGTGCTTTATAAATACCATAGTTGATTTGGTAAATTAAAAATATTCTATGCTATAATAAAAATTAAAAAAAAGAATTTTCAACAGTTTAAAAAAAAAATGTTATTTATTAAACAAATAAATCACTGTTTCTCTGTAAAATTGTTATTGCATAATTTTACAGATGAGCTGGGAAGGACTATACTTTTATGGGCTACAAGTTGATAATGCAAAAGTAAAAGAGCAGGTTCAATTAATCTTCTGTCACTTATCTGACAGTAAATCATCAATTATATATACAGAAGTCTAACCATTATCTTATATTAGCCTCAATATGGCAAGTGGTTAAGTTAGTTTCCGTATCGTTTTCTTGCGCAAAGTATTAGAAAAATAAGGGATTAAAAAAATGGACCATTCCAACTCAAATAATCTTGACGTCTTAAAGGTTAGATAACTAATGTGATATATTTTTATTATCAACAAATAGTTGACCTCCAAATTGTGTTATTAGAATTGAGATTTTCACCAGGAAACAAACAAGGACAGGTGTTGACATATTTTTTTCATTGTTGGTTTAGTTTAATACACTCCATGAATATGAATTTCTTGCCTTCAAATAAATTTGAAAGCAACATACTTTCGGTGCAACATTTATTTTTCAACATTAAAAATACTGAGACGATGTGACACATTTTTATCTTGGAAACTTTTGATTCTGACAATGAGTCAACTACTACACTACAAAATGGACAGCCCGGATAAAGGTTCAGTGCAAGCTCTGTGTATTTTTTCTCTACTGTCAATGCACAGGTCTGACATCTGACTGATCATAACATCGGCCACCTCATCTGCTTGCTCTCTCGTCGACACATTTTTCATCATGTTGCACAGAGTGTCCACTGGAATTTCACTGTTGGGGTGCCTTCGAGAGTTGGCTTGAAGTATGCTGAGAATCTGAATGGAGGAGTATTTTTTTATAAAAAATTATGAGATTTAAAAATTACTTTTTTTTAAAGAGGTAGGGAAACCCTTTGTACTATCGTACATGTTTGGAAATTAAAATGCATTCGTTGTCCATAATTATCACATAAAGGTGATATGTCATTTCATAGAATCCATTATCATGTGTAATAATAAAAATACAGAACAAATCACCATTATGTAAAAGATAGGGACTTTAAGTTTAACATTAAATAAGCTTCCCAGTCGTGGAACTTTGAATGAATGTGCAAAGAGGCATACAGTCATATCGTAGTCTTCAGACACTTACCATATGGCATTCACCAATAAGTTTATCTGTAGAAATGCTTCTATCTTTTCGCAATGTGCTTAATCTGGATCTCACAATACACAGTGGCGTTCTTTCAACATTGTCTTTCAGGTGAATGTTTGCACCTGTAATATTAAGAAGATATATGGTTCAGAATTAAAACCGAATTATTAAATTCTTGTTGAAGCAAGGGTAACCCCGTCTTTATGATACCTACTAACCAATTTCAACTCTGAAATATGATGTAAATTAAATTAAATAACAGATAATCCCCATATATAAAGATATATTCATTTTCCTTAACATAACTAATTATGAAACCATGATACAATTTTGATCAGAAAGTAAAAATCAACTTACCACAACCAATTAGAAGCTGCACAATCTTTGAGTCACCTCGACACACAGCTGATATATGTGGTGATAAAAAAAATAGATCTTGAGTAATTTCTCAAGAAGAAATTCATGCTACATTTTTTAAAAAAATATTACACTTTACTTTAAAAAATGTTATTTTGAAAATATTCTCGATCGGTAAAATTATTTTCACATTTTTTAAAGACTAAAATTATATCATATTTTTAAATGACATTACCTAGGTGCAATGGGGTATTTCCTAAAATGTCTTGCCGATTTGGGTCAGCTCTCAAGGACACCAACAGACTCACTGAAATAATATCTTTCAACGGTAAGATTCCATAAATTGATGTATAATTATAAATATTATTCAACCTTCCCATGGGAGCAGCTTTGAAAACAACACGGCGGCGCACACAATGCTGAGATAAACAAAATCATCTTCACATAAAACCTCTCCAAGTCCAAGGTACTAAAATACAATACTGATTTCTCATGACTGATCCTCCAAAAAAATGAGGTGTGACCTTTTGTGCAGACAACAACCCGTCACTATCTGTTGCAGGGACTTGCGCTAGCCAACTTTGTTACCATGCCACTAAAACATGCATCGGATGATGCAAGACTTGCCATTTGTGGTACAAACATAAAATATTCACTTTTCAGTGGGTACTCATACAATCCAGGGCAGCTTTATTTGTGTGAGATTGAATGTTATGCACACCGTCATCTGTTAACATCGCTACATAGAAGAAAAGGTTCGTCTGTTAAATGGCTCAGTTTAGTGAGCATTTAATAAATAATAAAGAGTATCAATGCAAATACCTCATCACATTTTATCAGGATAGACATCAGGCACCGATTTATAGTTCAGCCACAGAAACCAAACACTACAGTCTAACTTAAGGCTCAAACAGTTTATATTAGTTCAGCCACAGCAACCAAACACTATAGTCTAACTTAAGGCTCAAACAGTTTATATTAGTTCTGCCATAGAAACCAAACGCTACAGTCTAACTTAAGGCTCAAACAGTTTATATTAGTTCAGCCACAGCAACCAAACACTATAGTCTAACTTAAGGCTCAAACAGTTTATATTAGTTCAGCCACAGCAACCAAACACTATAGTCTAACTTAAGGCTCAAACAGTTTATATTAGTTCAGCCACAGCAACCAAACACTACAGTCTAACTTAAGGCTCAAACAGTTTATATTAGTTCAGCCACAGCAACCAAACACTATAGTCTAACTTAAGGCTCAAACAGTTTATATTAGTTCAGCCACAGAAACCAAACACTACAGTCTAACTTAAGGCTCAAACAGTTTATATTAGTTCAGCCACAGCAACCAAACACTATAGTCTAACTTAAGGCTCAAACAGTTTATATTAGTTTAGCCACAGAAACCAAACACTACAGTCTAACTTAAGGCTCAAACAGTTTATATTAGTTCAGCCACAGCAACCAAACACTATAGTCTAACTTAAGGCTCAAACAGTTTATATTAGTTCAGCCACAGCAACCAAACACTATAGTCTAACTTAAGGCTCAAACAGTTTATATTAGTTCAGCCACAGCAACCAAACACTACAGTCTAACTTAAGGCTCAAACAGTTTATATTAGTTCAGCCACAGCAACCAAACACTATAGTCTAACTTAAGGCTCAAACAGTTTATATTAGTTCAGCCACAGCAACCAAACACTATAGTCTAACTTAAGGCTCAAATAGTTTATATTAGTTCAGCCACAGAAACCAAACACTACAGTCTAACTAAAGGCTCAAACAGTTTATAGTAGTTCAGCCACAGCAACCAAACACTACAATCTAACTTAAGGCTCAAACAGTTTATATTAGTTCAGCCACAGCAACCAAACACTATAGTCTAACTTAAGACTCAAACAGTTTATATTAGTTCAGCCACAGCAACCAAACACTATAGTCTAACTTAAGGCTCAAACAGTTTATATTAGTTCAGCCACAGCAACCAAACACTAAAGTCTAACTTAAGACTCAAACAGTTTATATTAGTTCAGCCACAGCAACCAAACACTACAGTCTAACTTAAGACTCAAACAGCCTTCACAAATCCTACCACAACATCCACTTTCCTCTTTTTCATTTTACTCCAGCCCCTGACATTTATTCCATCTTATGAATTTGACTTTATCAAAAGTAGCAATAAATCTTTATCCCAAGTAGCAATAAATCTTTATTCAAAGTAGCAATAAATCTTTATCACAAGTAGCAATAAATCTTTATCCCAAGTAGCAATAAATCTTTATCACAAGTAGCAATAAATCTTTATCCCAAGTAACAATAAATCACTTCTTGCACAGAGTCAGGAAGCTCCTCAAATTTATATTTATTTTAAACCCTGATTTGGTTAGTGCCCCCCCCCCCCCCCCCCCNAATAAATCTTTATCACAAGTAGCAATAAATCTTTATCCCAAGTAGCAATAAATCTTTATCACAAGTAGCAATAAATCTTTATCCCAAGTAACAATAAATCACTTCTTGCACAGAGTCAGGAAGCTCCTCAAATTTATATTTATTTTAAACCCTGATTTGGTTAGTGCCCCCCCCCCCCTGCCAGTGCATTGTTATCAAATACATTTCTTCTTTATCATCATCATTTAATTCACCTATTGTTTCTGCTCCCTGAGAACTTGCAATGTGAAGTGCTGTTCTCTTTTTGTTGTCTGATGCGTTAGGATTAACACCTTCTCCGAGAAGTCGGGTCACTGTAAATAAATTTACAACATGAGTAAACATCTATATATATAAACATAATCTTAAATAAAAAATATATTGCTTGTACAATAAAATAACAATATTCTTAAGCTCCTTTCCTTCATTCGCATCTGCGGCAGTTAATTAAATTAAATTTTTTTTTTATTTCAGTATTGAATATTACCGGTAGTGTTTATCAACTTTTCATTTATTTCCTGAAATGAGCCATAAGCAGATAAAATGTATTTGTTAACGCTACTAAATTTCATGAGTAACACAATATATTCCAAAACTGTTTTGTGCATTGCAATAATTTTGATTGCAGAAAAATGGTTATCTTAAAAAACAAAAATTTGAGGAAAAAAAAGAAAATCAAGACTTCAATTATTTTTGCTTGATATTCCGATATCAGGACTTTGATGTTACACAGCAAACATTTCAAACACTTTATGGACTAAGTACTGTGAAACAAATCAGCCTCCAGAGGAAACTCAAGAACCAATAGTCTGATACTGGGATTAAACATTTTTAATGATTTTATTAAACATTACAGCATTCACTGGCAAGATAGGGAAGGCAAAATGAAGTACATTTAAAGTGGGGTAATAATAAAAATAGTCTCAAAAACTAGTCCACTTCCTGAATATTGTAATTATCTCATTTTGAATACACACATTTTTTTTTTACACCCATCATATTATTTTTCTTCATTTCATGTTCATGATTGAAAATTTGTTAAGAAGCTATTTTCTCAAAAGTAGCTCATTTTGCCATAATGTTAAAAGCACAAATTACCTGTATCAGTTTCTCCATTTCTCACAGCTGCCAAAAGTTTCTTTTCTCCTAAAATAATACCAAGACCAAATAGTCAATAAAAATAATTGATAGTAATAAGTTTAAAAACTAAGTTAATGAACATCCCAATATAATCTATTTCTATTCTAAGCAACTAAAAAAAATCATCTTAAATAATAATATAGTATCTGGGGAGAGAAACCTGGATTATTGAGACACAGTTTGTGTCAATAAAACAAAATATGTCACGTTTTAAGTAAGGTTACACAAAATACAGATTGAAAGATTTTGACAAATGTCTTCATAGGCTTGACAAAAAAAAACACATTCATTTAAGTATCAATTAAATTTAGTTATCTAACGAAAACAAAGCTCAGAGTAACCAAAAGAAATAAGGTGGAATTGCAATATAAAAAACAAACAGAAAAAAGACTTTGCAGCTATCTAAAATTGTGAATTTGGTTTATACATTATGTAGTCGAAGTACCATATCTTTTCATTAAATTATTTTCTATACAAATTTTATCAGCTGTATTACTCACATACAACTACAATGTCCAATGTTCCATTAGAGAAACCTACAAGATTAGTTAAGAAACTGTACTATGGTTTGCTCACCACTCATTCCATGAATTCCTATTCGACACAAAGCATGTTTTCTTGCTACACGCAACTGATTTCTCAAAAATGTAGATGGAACCATTGCCCTTGATCTGGAGCCACTTGATAAAGTTGAAGGATTATATTCTTGGCTAAATCCACTTTCTATGGTGATTCTCGACACAGGAAATGGGGCACAAAAATCTATTGGTCGTAACTGCAGAGAAATACAAAATTTAATGAACAGGTGAAGTGCAATGCGTTTCCGGTTTGCATAGCAATTTTCAACTTAGTTAAAATAAACAAATCAGCACATCCCTTCTACATAATAAATTTCAATTTAAAAAAAAAAAAAAAAAAAATTTTTACCTAAGAAGAATAAAAAAAAAAAAAAAAAAAAAAAAAAAATGCAATGCGTTTCCGGTTTGCAAAAAAATTTTTAAATTAATTAAAAAAAAAAAAACAGCACAACCCTTTTAAAAAAAAAATTTCAAATTAAAAAAAAAAAAAAAAAAAATTCTTACCTTAGTAGGATCAAAATAAGGGAAACAAATTGAAGACAATGTTGTAGTCACTGTTTCAGTTTTTGGGGGCTCAACAGAAGGATGGACGACCATTTCACATTTAAAAGGTGCACTGCCTTGAAAACTAAACATACAACAAGTGCCATGAACATCGGATTGTGATGGCTGTTGTGAAGACGAGTTTGTTTTGATCAATGAAACTGCCATGGACTGTGACTTTGATGGCACATTTGGTGAAAGTGATGTGGTTAAGTGCATGTCTACACTGGGTCCTGGAATATATTGTGTGTCCACCTCAATATCATCTGTATCCATTGTTTTATCCTAGAAATTTCACAACCACAGATTTTATCCTTAAGTTTCAAATGAGGTTGCACTGAAAAGATTTCTCTTAGAAATATTCATCTGTTTGAAAGATTTAATTAAAATGGTTAACAGATTGAACTGATGAAATAAATAATATAATAATTAAAGGACTGCATTCAAACCTAGTAAATGAAATAGCAAAACGAGGTATATGGAAGCTTGAATTAGAGAACAGGACAAAAAGATTAGGATGTTTCGAGATAGAGCCTTCTTCAAAGAGCTTCATGAAATAAATAATTAGTAAATGCCATCATGAAACGTGTTCAGGTGGTTGATCTTCCATCAGGGGCCTCCCCATATGGTGAATAGGGAAATGGTTAATAAATATGGTGTGTAATGGGGAATTAAAATACCTAAGATGGACCAAGGTCAGCAACTACTTCCTTGCAGCCAGTAAATAGATTAACAAACGTTAGAGACCTGAACCCAAGGCAGCTACCCAGAGAGTTAAAAGGAGCATCCCCTAGTTCCCACATGTTGTGCACAGGGCTAAAGATTCTGTCATGGAACAAAATTAAAACTTTTAACAAAAGCTTAACCAAAGTCAGAAAATCGGAAAGGCATTAATAGATTTTGACCCTAATGTAGACAAGCTGCAAGGGAGTCAATGAATGGAGATAATAGGCCATGGGGTTTTGTCTGAGTGGAAGGATGTCGTGAAGTAGGCCAGAGCTTTCCTTGATCCGGCATGGGCTCTAAAGCCCATGATGATGATCATGATACATGTTATAATAAATACAAAAATATTCATATAAAACAAGGCTATGAAGAGTATTACAACTGAGATGCAATTCCTTTTCTTTTATTATTATATACTCTTTGGTAATCCTCAGAATGGTGGTCCCAAATGTCAGATAGAACACTTTTTCCCTAGAAAGTGCCTGGCAACCAGCCTAATAACCACTGATAATTGGAGACAAAATTGTTTAATTCTAATTTTGTTTGCAGACTAATTATTGCTTGTAATAATATAAAATAAACAACATCATGGCTGGCAGACCGCATGTTTTGCCAGGAAACATTCTGCAAACTTATGACACAATGCCGAAGGCACTGTAAGACAGCATTCATTGGTTAATGTGACTTGCTGAAACCATCTAATACGAAATTATAATTCAACAGAGATAACTTTTCTTTAACTCTTGCATTTTCTTTCTTTTTCTTCTTCTTTCTTTTTTTTAAGTAGATGATGCTGAAATTTAGGGCATTAGATTTAAACAATTACATTACCAATTATCAGGGGCTATTAGGCTGGTAACTGGGCACTATGTAATGATGTATAAATTTTGACATTTGGGACCGCCTTTCTGAAGATTACTATTTTATAAACAGAGATTTTCAACTCTTTGGGCTAACTATAAAGCTTGCAGCATCATTAAAGTTTTAAATAGTAAGCTGAGTAAGTGAGCTTACCCTAATAAAATCAGTATTACAGTGTATTACACTAATTACAGTGAAGTAAATTATTCATTCACTTGGCTTGGGGGTATCCTTAGAGTGACTAGCCTCATCAACAACAAATTAATTAAATAAATAACTGGCAAAAAAGAAGTAAGCCTCTTTGATAGGGTGACCAAATCATGAACTGGAAAAAGGAACGGTTGAGGCGACAACACTAGACACATTTGTGTCTATTGCCTCCAGCCTTCAAACCCCTAGCCCTAGTGCATGATTTCCTCATCAACACCAGTAACAGAAACATTGCAAATCCCATCTACATGCATAGGAGCCAAAATGATCAATAAATTGATCGTGAGCCCTTAAGATATAGAAGAAGAAGAAGAATCTTTACATTTTCAAGGACAGTTTGGGGGGGGGGGGATACCAATACTTAAAAACATTATTGCAAACTGTGCACTCCCCTTCACTTTCATAGCGTCCCCTTTTAAAANAAGTGTATTGGAATTTACATAATTCATACACCCCCCCCCCAAAAAAAAAACCTCCCCCCCCCCCCCCCCCCCCCCTCTCGGCTTCAAGTCTCGTGTCTTTAGCTATACATTTACATATAAGATCTATGGCAGGGACACTGTGTGGTGTTGGAGGAACAGTGCAGCCATCACACGAGTCCACATCGCTACTGGCACACTGGCTACACAGCTAGCCAAAATATTACTTGAAGTTCTATTATATATTATAAATTAGGAAGTTTTAGTGATTTGAAAATGTGTTTGGTTTAAAAAACGGGACATTTAGGCGTCCCGAGAAACTTTTTCGGGACACCGGGACGATAGTGAAAAAACTGGACAACCTCGTTTTTTACAGCACGTTTGGTCACCCTAGTCTAACCCTCTCTCCAAGAAAACACACTGCATAGGGTGGCGTCCCGAGACCTTTTCGGGACAACGGCGGGTACGATCGTGACAAAACGAGACAATCCCGTTTTTACGGGACGTTTGGTCACCCTACCCTATGAATAAATCATAATTTTAATTAGTGACACGTGAAGATCAGTGTTGACAACAGTTGACTACTTGCTTGAAAATAATCCTTCCAGTTCGACTACCTACTCCACGCACTCGCAGACTAAGTTAATTTAGTTAAGTATCCGAATTCAATATCCCTTCTTTGTTTGTTTACTTATAGCCATATTATTTAATGTTATATACTTTAAGCTAAATTTTACGTTTAAAATGTGCCTTGCCTCTTATTCTTAAAACACTTAAGTTAATTATATAGGGTCTTATGACAGTCCATATCGTAAACTTGATGTTGGTTGTAAATAAAGGCTAAGGTAGAGTAGAGACTAGAGCGCATCGCTGCCATTCAGACTTTTAAAACTTCCCCAGGTTTGTTCTACACATTTCCCAGATATCCCCAGAGGCCATATATAATATATGACACTAATTAATTATAGCCCACGTTTAATTGTTACCTTTGCAATTGTATGGAAAATGAGGTTCAAAGTGGGGGCGTGAGGTCTGGACGCTTACATCTTAATAGTGACTAAATCCTACAAATTACTCATTTTTGTATATATATGTACTGGTGTACTGTAACCATGAGCATTTTATTATACACTTCATTAATGAACTAGTTTGTTCCATTATTAAACAATATTTGCTACTTACTTTTAAATTAATTTATTTTTATTTATTTATTTTTAGGGGGGGGGGGCACGGGTGCATTTAATAATTTTCAATTGATTTGCCCTATAATTAGTTCTGCTTTTTAATGCCATGGTAAAATTCTATACAGCCGCCACGTGATTTTTGGAGCCCCCTGCCACTTTTCTGTTTCGTGCCCCCTGCATTCAAACTTTATATATATATTAATTCGAATTACAACTGGGGAAAGAGGGGGGGGGGAGGTCCACTAAATTTGGACACTGTGTAAGAATTGTGTCTAATTTGCGTTAAAAATTTTTAATATTACTTATTTTATTATTTTAAAAAATTTAAAAATTATTTTTTTCCCCACGGGGAGGGGAGGGGGTGTCAATAAATTTGCTAAAATAGCGCGACGTCATTTATGGATTAAATGTCTTGATGCCCCCTGGAGCCACAATGGTTTCAGGGTCCACGCAATAATGACTCTAACTCTGTCTACATTTAATAGAATATTGTCAGAGTTATCACCCCAGGCGCACTAATCGTTCTGTCAGCCCTAACTAAGACTGGGATCAGGTGTATTACCAATTTTAAACCATCTCTTCTGGGATATCGAGATCAGTGAGGAAAAAAAAATGATTTGTCCCCTCTGATTTTTTCCCTCTTTTATTCCCCAGTTACCAGGAGGGTGTCAAATTTTCCTAAATCTGGGGACAACCTCCAAGGTCTGGTAGCACTGGAGCGTATGTAAATTTTCTATCTCACTGTTTAAAGATTACCCAGGTGGATTTTTTTGCTTGATACAATAACTACATTCTTTTCACAAGAGAGTGACACGTTTCAGTTGTCATGTTCTAATATAAACAATGGAATAATCAGCGATTACTTTGATGCACTAACCCGCTTCAGCGGTGCACCTTACCATGTCACTTTCATTTGACGTACTGTTTTATACTCCAATTGTTTTTATAATTTTATATCTTCTTTTGAATAAAATGGCTAAAACACCTCGAAACATATGCATTGTTGTGCTAGGCGATATTGGTCGCAGTCCCCGTATGCAATACCACGCACTGAGCTTTGCCAAGGAAGGATTTCGGGTATATTTGGTTGGTTATAAAGGTAATTATTTTTGAAAAATTATTTGATTTGACGCCTTTTGTCACTTTTTAATCTTATGGGAAAACATAAAGCTCAAATAAAGTGGTCACAGGGCTAGTGCTGACCATCCCAGCTAACACATATCTCACCCCACAGAAGCCAGGTTGCTTAATCAGGGCCAAAGGCTCAATAAACACTGACTTCACCTCTGATAACTCCATGAGCAGTTACATCCGGAACAATAGTAAATGCTTCACTGTGCCTTGGTGTAACACAGTTCAATATAAAGAATCATTCTTCTCACGAACAATAATTGCTAAGAACCAATTGGACATTGCCGCAGTAGACTCGACATCAATCGAGAGTTTCAAGGCGGCCCTGGCCTCTGCTAGGAGCCGTTAGGATTGCTGCATCGCTTCCCCAACCATTACAAAAATGCCAGTAAATGGATGCAGCAACATACCCAACCAGAACCAGAAATACAATGTAATGTGCAGTGGATTGTGTTCTGATTATGAGTAGGCTACTTGTTAAGTTATTTTAATAATAAAATACTGAAGCACTTCTGAAACTTTCTACGATGACCACAACCACCTCCAAGCAGATTTGAAGTACCTTATGAATTGAGCGGACAAATGGGGCATGAAATTTAACGAAACCAAATGCTACACAATGAGCATCTCAAGAAAAAACCCATCAACCTATATGTAATTCCTAAACAAGACAATTCTCCAATAAGTATCAAATAATCCATACCTTGGAATTCTCTTCTCGAATAACCTAAAATGGTCACCCCATATAAACAAAATTTAAAAAAAAGCCAACTCCACACTAGGTTTCATTCAAAGAAATCTGCGCCACTGCCCAACTTCCTGCAAATGAAATGCCTATCTTGCACTCGTATACTAGAATATGGTGCGATCATCAGGGACCCATACCTTAAGCAAGACGTGGACAAGATTGAGTGAATCCAAAGTAACGCAGTGCGCTTCATCGCATGTGACTACAAATCCACAACTTCCGGCTTTGTCACCGACTTCTTAAAAAGATTTGACATCCCCTCCCTCAAAGACAGACGAGAAAAGTTCTGCCTAACATTCTTAAAGTGGTCATGGGGCTAAAGCCGGCCATCCCAGCAAACATGTATCTCACCCCACAGAAGTCAGGTCGCTTAATCAGAGCCAAACGCTTAGTAAACACTGACTTCACCTCTAACAACCCCATAAGCAATTACATCTGGATCAACAGTAAATGCTTCACTGTGCCTCGGTGTAACACAGTAAACAATCATTCTTCCCATGCACAATAATCGCTTGGAACCACCTGGATAATGCCGCCGTGGACTCGACATTAATCGAGAGCTTCAAGGCTTCCCTGGCATCCACTAGGAGCTGATAGGATAGCAGCATTGCTTCCCCAACCATTGCACATATGCCAGTACATGGATTCAGCAACATACCCTACCAGAAACAGAACAGAAAATTCAATGAAGCCAATAATGGGTTACTTACTATTGAGAGTCAAAACGTTAACAGTGCCTTCCTGATGATGATGTGATTTATCTTAGTCATCAGGTTACCATGTATTATCTTTTTGCCAGACCAGGCTGATGGTTTTCGGACATTTCTTCTGTAACCAGTACAGTTAAAGACGGCAAAATAAAAAAAATTATGATGCCAGAACCAGATGCTATTCATGAATAAAACCAACATTTTTGCATTCAAGTTTCAGTTTTTAGTTTTGTAAGCTATTATTATGTGCCATAGATCGACTTTTGCTTTTAGACTATGACATCTTTAATGAAAGTTATTCCAAGGCTTTGTCATTGTTTTCTTAATTCACCCCAGTAAATCAATAAGCGAATTTAAAAATTATTTATATTACTTCTATTAAATTAAAATCCTTTTGTAATAACGCTTCTAGGTACCAAGCCACATGAAACACTACTTAGCAATGAAAACATTCAGATTTCTTATGTCAAAGAACCGCCAGCAGTTCTTGCATGTGAGTATGTCTGATGACATTATAAAAAACAAATTACTTGTCGGGCACATTTATTGTAAAAAATGTCATTTAATTATACCCATTTTATATCTTCTGTTCAAAATATCAAGCCTACACATGGGGGAAAGTAAGCAGCTCCTTACAGTCTGAGTTGGGGGTGGGTGGTGGGTTAAAAACCTTGGAATAAACCCTGCTGTTTTTTTTAAATTCTCCAGGCAAGAAAATTACTATAATCCAAGGTGACCTAGTCCCATGCACAGTTTGTTTTTGCTGGGGATCGGGCACCAATCAACAAGTTTGGTATTGACACAATTTTGACAGCACCCCATCCAGCCACCTGCACAATGTCTGAATTTTAAGAATTAAAACTAAAAACTGTAAATTTTGTGTTGCTAATATTCATAGTGAACTCTCACATTAAAAAACAATACCATAACTCACAGAATTGAGAAAGGCTGGGGGAGGGGCTTCAGCCACTCAAGAGAGGATAGATGCCACTACCTAAAAATGACCGGGACAAAGGAGCTTGTTATTTGAATACGTTAACTTTAATTCCATCCATCCCTTGGGCTATACAGGCCATGTAGGTATTTGGCCTGCCTCACTACTTCCCTCCACTCAGACCGAACTAATGCTTTTCTTTTCCATGCTTGGATTCCCAGTTGTTGTAGATCTCTTTGCACATCATCCATCCATCTAAGCCTAGGTCTGCCTTTGGGCCATTTTCCTCTGAGATTTTGGTGATGTACCCCCTTCACTACTCTGACATTTGGCATTCTCTCTAAGTGTCCTGCCCAGCATAGCCTGCCCTTTTTTATTTCTGCTACTATTGTGGGATCCTGATATAGACTGTACTATTCAATGTTGGTTCGTATTCTCCATCCATATTCATCCTTTGTTGGTCCTGCATTGTCCTGATAACTTTTCTCTCCCATGTGTTTAATAGGTTTTCTGCCATTTTTATTAGGGTCCAAGTTTTACTTGCATATGTTACAACGGTTCTGATTACAGTTTCATAAATAGTTTTCTTTGTTTCTCTTGTAATATTTTTACTTGTTAGTATTTTCTGACTACTGAGTATGCCCTGTTTCGGACTGGTATGCTTTCTTTTATTTCTGTTAGTAATTCGTTTCTTGCACTTAATAAAGATCCGAGGTATTTGAATTGATTTAATTTTTCAGAAGTCTTGGTTCTAACTTTAATGACTTCATCTGTCTGTTCGTCTCTTATCATAGTCATAGTTTGGTTTTTAACTTCCAGCCCTTCTTGTAGTTATGTGTCTTCTAACTCAATAAAGGATTTTGATATGACTTTAATACGTTTCCCTAGCAGTGCTATGTCATCAGCATATGCAAGATACGGAAGGTGTTGATTGTAGAGAGTGCCCATTGGTTGTGGGACTTGGGTTTCCCTCAGAAAGTATCCTGTTATTTTTCCTTGGGTGTCAATATGTATGTCTCTTATAACTCTCTCTAATGTTAGGTTAAATAGCATACAAGACAGTGAGTCTCCTTGTCTTAAACCTCATCTAATCTGAAATTCCCTTGATTATTCTCCATTAACTTTAATTCACTGAGCCCTTAATATTTTAAAAGAGTCATCCTTGTTGAGAAATTAATTGAAGTTTTAAATAAAAAACAATTTTATCCCTCAAAAAATATTCCCCAGTATATGATAAAAATATAATATAATAAAAGAGAGATAGGAAATTATGTCTATCAAACCTGGTCTAATGCATCGAATATTTTATTTCTGTTTTCCAGTTAACCCTTTTTCTGTTAACCCCAAATCTCACTTATATACATTTCATCATTATAAATTTTATTCTGTCTCTCAAATATTTACATATATTTTCATTCTATCAAAGCTGTTCAAAGTTTCACTCATCTATACACTAGTTTTAAACTTTATAGGTAAAATATGTTTTTTCAGTTGCTCCAAAGTTGATGGGCTACTTCTTGAAAGTAATTTGGCAGTCTGTTTTACTTCTTTGGACCTTGCTTTTGCTACCTAAAATGGGATCAATACTTATTCAGGTAATCTCTCCCTAAGATTTCTTCAGTTCAGTTGTTTCTATTATTAAAAAAACAACAAAAAACAACAACCCAAAAACCCCTCTATATTTCATTTGGCAAAGCTGTCATTGCCACAGAAAGATTTATGAATTTTTACAAAGTAATAAAACAAAGTAACATTTATACTATACTATAAAATCTATTATGAAAAATGTAAATATAAAAAATAAATACCTGTTACCTTTTTATCAAGGCCAGAAATTGCCTTAAATGCGTTATGGCAAATATTTCTTTCAGAACCCCCCATCAATACCAACAATGCTTATTGCCTACATGGTGAGCTTTGTGAGATTTTCCACTCTTGTTATTGACTGGCATAACTATGGACACACCATTCTGTCCATGGCTCTGAAGAAGGACCATCCTCTTGTCAGATTTGCCGAATGGTTAGTGACATGTACAAAATGTTCCTTTTGGAAAAGATTGTTTTACAGTACTCATATTCTGTTTTAGTTAAAGAGCATGGTCAGGGGTGCTCAGCCATTAAAAAGACTGTTCATTTTTGCAAGTATACACTGAGATATAGTACTTTTATGCATTATGATTGTGCTGTCAGATATCCAGTGGTGCTTACATTAATTGACTATGTTGATAATGAGGTGACTAATTGGTCATCTTAATTTATTTAATTACCTTATTTTAAAATCAGCAAAAACAAATAAGTAATGGCCGACAGTTTCAAGAAATGTAAGAATTTTTAGAATATTGCGATGTTTTTTTGTTTTTGTTTTGTATTAGAATAACCAGCTTTTATTAATAAATTTTAGGTATGAAAAACGATGTGGCCGCCTCTCATCTTACAATATTTGTGTGACCAATGCCATGCGAGATGACCTTAAGACTAACTGGAATATCAAGTAATTAATAAATAAATATATCCTTATATTGATTTACAATTGACTGGGACATGATTCAGTTGGGATAAATCTCAAAGAACAGTGACAAAATTTAAAAATTACCAGAATCGACCTCAGTCACTTGGGACTTCACATGTTTGATATACACTTACAGCTTAATTGATCAAATTAAACCAGAATGACCATGCGTGAATTTACTATTTAAAGAAAAATTTCTTTGAAGCTTAACTGATTACTGGTGTAAAATAATTTCAAAGCAGAATATATTTAAGAATGAGCCATGTGCATGTTCATTCAATAGCTGAAAAATACAATTCCCCAAAAGTGCATCAGGCAGCATGCAAATTTGCATTCAATATGCATGTAAGATAAACTTTGTATTTCTAAAAATGATTTGGATTCTTAAAAACAATTATAGCGCATTTTAAAAAAATATGCAACTGGGTTAGGTTTTAATGTCTTGTAACCTCAAAAGAAAGTTACGACACTTTTCCACATCTTGTAAATGTATAATTAAGTTAATAGTAAATCAGACTTTCCTTACTTTTAAAGACGTATCTATGGATAGATGTTTTTTTGCTTATCTAACGTCATTTGGTTTTGAGAAATTTTTGTCTTTTAAATAAAGATCTACCAAACCATTTTTTACGCCCATGAACTTCAAACCAAATTTTAATTATTTCCTAAAAGGCTGATCAAGACTGAAAAGTTGGTTTAGAATTGCCTCTAGATTTAAGAATTTGTTTTTTTTATCTGTTAATATAATTCAGGAGCGAGTGAAAAGGTTGGCTAAATTTGTATTGAAGATTCATATGTATCAAAATCCATTAATGTTACAGATATTTAAAATGGTACATAGATTATTTTCAAAATTTAAGGACACATGTTTACAATGTTTATTTAGAAAGTGATTTCTTTGTATTTCAAGGGCTTTAAAAAGGTCTTGTGTAGGCCTTTATAATGTAGAAGATAAAAATTCCTCAAAGCTCATTGATGTAAGAAATGTAAACATCTATTTATAGATACTTCTTAAAAAGAAACAGATTTACATTTTTTTCTAAACATACATTTCAAGAGCATGGAAAATAGCAATCATTTTTAAATTATTTTTTGTAAAGGATATTATGCATTAAAACCTAATTCAATTACATTGTTACATGCATAAAAAATTCATTTTTTGGATGTTAAGACTTCGCAATATAAGGTAGAAAGCTACAGCAATATGACTACCATTGATATTCCAGTAATACCAGGTCATATTTTGTGTTTATTTATAACAAAATATAACACAAGAAACTTTCAGTCCTTTCTGCCAAAAATTTCCTTCTCAGTGCCATCACCGCCCATGACAGGCCTAGTGAGATATTCCAGTCGGCTAGTTTAGAGAAGCAGAATGATCTGTTTACCAGGCTTGCCAAGGAGTATTCAGTATTTGCAAGGTATACAGAAACTAAATAACATTTTATGCCAAGACTTGGATCATTATTCTCGTACTAAGAATTATAAAGAATCTTCTTCTTAAGTCTTACCACACATTTTAACACCAGCTCATATGTATGTCTTGGTTATAGTTAGTCATTGAAATGTCTTCAGTTCAGAGAGTGCAGAATCAGACTCGACCAAGTTCACTGCTAGAGACCAAGATGGCAACATTACCAAATTAGTAGGAAGACCAGCTCTCCTGGTCAGCAGCACAAGCTGGACAGGTAGAGTCACTTTTTAAATCTCACATATACCAGCTGTTTGTGAAGATTAAGAAATAATTTCTTATGTTGCTCAATCCTCCTTATTTATAATTTTTCCCCTCTTAAGTGTCCAGTCCCTCCTTTTCAAAGTGGGGCACAGGACATCAAGAAACTTTGTTTCTATTTTCCTGTCTGTCAACAGTCTCACTTAAATCCCAGTGCCATATTGTTTACATTTAACTAGATTGTAGCATTAATATTGATGTTATATGACATCTTGTTTTGCAGACGATGAAGATTTTGGCATTCTTTTAGAAGCACTAGAAGGTATGTTCTCAAGATCTTTATTTTTTTGCCCCTATATAAATTGAAAAGTTAATGAACCTAGATTACTCATGAACTTGCTAAAAAATATTTGTTTATGATATAATAAATTGAAATGTTAAAATTGTATGTTTAATTTCCCAATAGCATATGATGAAGCTGATGAAGATGGAAAAAGTTCAAAATTACCAGATTTGCTCTGTGTAATCACAGGTATGGAAATTTCATTTAATCTAATTACATTTAATAAAAAATTTTAAAAATTAATTTTAACATAATATTGATTGAATTTTTTTAGGGGCAAAATTGTTTTGGTTGGTTTTTTGTTGAGTGTTTGTTTTGTTTGTTTCTTAACAGCCATTTCATTATTGAGTATTATCTATAGCTCCTCTAGCAATAAAAAAAAATTACATTGATTTAATTTTTTAAAATTTGTGTACTAAAAATGTTCTTAAAGGCAAAGGTCCCCAAAAAGCTTTCTACAGTAGAAAAATTGAGGAGCGAAGCTGGAAAAAAATACAGTTTTGTCTCCCTTGGCTTGCTGCTGAAGATTACCCCACAATGCTGGGTAGGGATTTTTATATAAACTATCAAAGCTAATATGTATTATTTCTAGTTAATATTATTGTGACCATAAGAAAATTATGATTTTAAAAAAATAATAAAAGGTAAGAGAATTTTAATTTAAAAAAAAAAAGAAAATTAATTAAATAGGGATACAATTTTTGTTTTTTAAATTTCAGAAGGCCTGGAGGACAATGTCAGAAAAAAATTATGAACAAGAAGCATGAAGAAATCTAGCAATTTAAAAAAATAAAACTAGTATTCTTTTGAGACATCCATCTTTTTTAAATTAAATCTAATTCCCCCCAAACATAAGTGCTCTCAGGCTGGGGTCCACATTAGTGTCCAAAGCCATTACTTTAAAGGAAGAATCAGAGTTTCTCAAGAACACTGTTTAAGCCACATGTGTGTTTTGCATGGAGCATGACTGAACCTTGTAAAATGTTTTGACCAGGTTCAGCAGATGTTGGTGTTTGCCTTCACATGTCATCCAGTGGCTTAGACCTGCCCATGAAAGTGGTGGACATGTTTGGCTGTGGGTTGCCAGTTTGCGCTGTCAATTTTAAGTGGTTAGTGCATGTATTATCATAAAATCTTAATGCCAAATACATTTTGGTACTAAATTTGGTTAAAAATGTCATAAGATCTTTTTATTTGTTTAAATTTCAAGAATGGAAAATATATTAGGGATGTAAACATTAATGCAATTCACATAAAACCATATTTAATTTTAATATTTTTGAATTTCTCATAACATTATTCAACATGTGTACATTTTATTGTTTATATTCCCTACAGTATTGGAGAACTAGTCAAGCATGATAAAAATGGTCTTATCTTTAATGACAGTCAGGAGCTGGTCAGTCAATTGAAGGTAAATATTTTGAAGTAAATATATTTTATACATAAGAGCATATGCCATTAATTCCACACCTTTCAGTCTCTTGCAATCTTAAGTACAACCTTGTCTACCTCTCTACGCAAGATTTTTTGGGAATTCCCCATCCTCTTGATTGATATATTATATTTTACTAAGTCATTGACCACAAATGAAAATTTTGAGTTTCTTTTTTTTTTTCCAACTTAAAAGTTAAACAATTTTTGTGCACTATTTTGCAAACTTTTCTTTGATACAACCTTTTTTATTTTATTGATTAAGCAAATATTAGAGGGATTCCCTGACAAGAACAGCAAACTGGAATCATATAGAAGGAACCTGGCATCATTCCAAGAGCTCAGATGGCACAGTCAGTGGAAACTATTGGTTCTACCAATTTTTCTTAAGATTGGGGGCATTAGAGACTCTGCTTTTGACATTCCTGGACTTTTTGATCAAACGACGAGAACAGAAGACACCAGGCCAGTGAGTCTGACTAAAGAAAAAGATGAATAAAATTTCTTTTAAGGTTATCTCCCTATCGAAAAAAAATAATTCTTTGAAGACCAAAAAACTAATAACAATTTAATTTGATTATCAGATACTCGTATTATAATTAAGATAGACATTTTATTTGAATTGAATCAATTTCTACAATTTAATTTCTACTCCAGCCCATGAGTTGTTAAGAAATATTTTTGAAGCGGTATTACCGAAGTGAGATTAGGTTAGTGATGAAACTATTGAAAAAAACAAATTTAGCCAGAAACTTTGAGACGATGTGCATAAAATTTAATCCTTACTCTGAAAAAGTGTTTGGATTTAACTTTATTTACTAAATTTACAACACAAGATTGTGTTCACGGATGTATAAAAAAAACCTTGTTGATATTGAAGTAGGTATGTTTTAAATCTAAATTTTTTATATTATATATTCCCATGGTCTGGACCTGATGATAAAGTCCAGCAGATAAAAAAAAAATTTAAACATTGCATTTTAAACCTGACTCATATCTATGCTGCTGTTATATACTATATACCTCAGTGAATAAATTTATTCACGAGTATATAGAAAATTGTTTTGAAACATAAAATTGCTTTAGACGTTGTGTATATCTACTTACTTGTTATATCACTATGGTGCGTGACCGCTGGTTCACCATCTATCTTTTACCATAGCTGCCAAAGTCAGCGAGAAAAAAAATTGACCTTATTTTATTGGACAAATAAAGAAAATGCATTTAATTTCATCATGTTTTCTTATAAATTCATTTTCCAAATTAAGGAGACTGTGCCATTGAATGTTGTTATTTTATAATTTTGCTTATTCTTTTTTTTCAGTGTATTTTATTACCTTTTCTAAGAAATATGTTTCCTTATTTAAAATGTTTGGTTTTTACATTTTGACTTTTCCCCTTTTGCATTGTGTGTTTTTCATGTTTTCCCTTAACTTGCAGTCCTTATTTCCCTTTCCTGTTTCCTGAAGGAGGCTGTATAGCTTAACAGTTCGATTTTATTTCCAATTCATGCATTTACATTTATTGTGCTGTTTATGTACGCTTTTCACAGATTGATTGCAACCATCCCTATGCTAATCCATGCCGTGTTCCGTCAGCAGCGCAGACTTTTTAACATGTCTTTTTATCTCTACAATTTTTTAACCTAAAATGCAGTAGAAAATAATCAAAAGCCGTGAAATATGATGTAAATACAAAATGTTTATTTATGCCAGTATAAAAAAAAAATAGGACATAAGGCCGAACACTAGGTATAGTCAAGTTATAGAAAGAAATATGTTGTCATCTGCATAAATGGTGTTGATTTTTTTGCCTGTAGGAGCTTACTCAAAATTTAAAAAAAAATCTTATCAATTTGTTTTCCTGTATATTATTATATAAATGGAAAATAAACGTAATAAATAGCACAACATTGAAAATTAACAAACTGTGGGACCTGTTTTAGTTTTTCCTACATTTTGATTAGACTAATACTATTTAAAAAAATTTTTTTTTACATCCATTCTCTACACAAAATACCAAGTGTCTTTTAGTTAACTGAATATTATTTTCCAAATGAGATATGACATTTTCACAGCATTTCGTGGTACACTTTGAGGACCTTCAAATAACATGAGTATACAATAAAAACAATGTTCAAGTTTTTGCTTCAAAATTGGGGCTTAAATAAAATATAGCACAAGATAACAATTTAAAGAATGTAGAGTTATAAAACAAACCAAAGGTACATAACTCAAGTTTAACATTTGATTACATTACATAGAAAGTCATACCTAGAGAGTGATACATAGAAAGTCGTACATTGGGAAGAAGACATTTTGTGAAATTTCGTACATAATCTTAAGATGAACATCCCAAATAATTTTAAAAAAGGTATGAAATAAAGAGCCAAAAACTGATTCCATGAATGAAATTATTGCTCCTCTCTGCTCAATTTCTGAGATTTCTAATTCCATTATAAATGTGAAAAGATTAGAATGATATATATACATATGTATTATGCATCAGGGGACAGAACAAAAGTTGTACAATTATATTTAAAAAAAAAAAAAAACAACCTCTAAATAACCCCTTATATTGCCATATACTTACAGAGAAATAAAACTCTATCAAAGCCAGCAACGTTGGGTTGTTGGCCTCATAACGTTAGGTTGCTGGCCTCATAACGTTGGGTTGCTGGCCTCATAACCACCAAGAAGTAGCAGGTTACAACAGTGTCAAACCCAGTTGTAGGTTTATAGTTGGGTGCTATGGACTACTCATATATATATATAGTCGGCCCAGCTGGGTAGTAATAAACAACAAACACAACCTTTAACATTAAGTTGAAAGACAGCAGAAAATTTGGGGTGAGGTAAAAAAATTGTCGGCTGTCAACACCTTCCCTACAGTCATAAACAACAACAACAACAAAGTAGTTTAGATCACTATTGCTGGCTTCATTAAACATACTAAGTTTGACAATACACAAACTGAAAAAGGTAAAGCTCGTTGTGAGACCCCATCATCTTGAGATGAGTAGCCCAACTTGGCAATCACAACGAGCAATGGTTTTTGTTTTTTTCAATCCAAAATGGGGAAAACTCACTTCCCCCTAATTTGAATAACACTGGTCTGATTTGTAAACAAAATTGTAAACAGCTGGTCATGGAAAAATTGAAGTCTTGTAAATAAAATTTCATACACAATCTGGAATGTTAGGCAGCAGTCGTTGGAATGCACCAAGATAAATTTAACATAGGAATGATATAAGTAATCATGGCAATAACACTGATATAATACAAACGGGAAGAAATTTAACAATGGAATGCTCACAGTAACAGCTCAGCATTATGTAGCAGGGACATCACATTCCAGATGTAAGTTGTAAAATGGCAAAAAATAAATCTTTCAAACAGATGCATACAATATCAATGAAAGCTTTCATCACAACTCAGAATGAGCCAACTGATGAAATGCTTAAAATCAATAACAAATTTAGAATGACAAAGAAACTATTTATGTGGGTCTATATCAGACAGCATTTTGACTCCTTGATGTCATAAAATAAGAACTTTAAAAAAAAAATTAATTCAGTAACTTGTAACAGATTGTAGAACTTAAATTATTCCCATCAATAAAAATAGAGAAAAGCAAACTTGTTACAAACATAAAGCTAACAGCAGTCTGATGTAACATTATTTGTTAGGCAGGATTAATTTAGGTTACAGGGTCAGACTGTATTTTCTCTAACTTATCAACATAGATATGCTTTTGGGAAAGGAGGGGGGGGGGGGTGGTGGTTGGGGATGAAAAAGGCACTGACAGATAATAGTAGATACAGTAACGTAATATATTCCATTAGTTGGTCTTAGGCTTTTGTTAGGCAGGATTAATTTAGGTTACAGGGTCAGACTGTATTTTCTCTAACTTATCAACAGAGATATGCTTTTGGGAAAGGAGGGGGGGGGGGTGGTGGTTGGGGATGAAAAAGGCACTGACAGATAATAGTAGATACAGTAACGTAATATATTCCATTAGTTGGTCTTAGGCTCTTGGTTTTATGTATAAATACGTGATAGTTATTTTACATTTAAGTATTGTGGTGTTGGGTACCAAAGCATGTTACAATGCTGTCAGCACAGATCCAACAATGCTTTTGTAATGATCATATATTAATTGAATATTTATATTACACAGAATGGACTTGACATATTGATAGAATACATCAAATAGTTGGGCCAGGGAAAAAAGGCAATTGCTTTAGATTTATTTATATGCAGATTATTGGTAGTTTCTATAATAATGTCAATATGATGAGGTAATTATGAAAATATAATATGCATGGAATGGAAATATTTTACAACTTTTCAGCCTTGTAAATGCAGTTTTAATTCAACTATTGTTGTATACATAATGTTGTCAAAGAAATGGTAGAGAGATTTTACTCGTAAACCTGAGCCAAAATTATGTTTTTAAAAGTCAAAACTTGGTGTTTTCGTAGAGTCCATTTCAGGTGTAATTAAAACTTCTAATTATTTCGAATATAAAGTAAAAGGCACTAAAAGTAAATAAAACCAATATTAAAAAAACAAAACAATGTGTTGATTGGCTATAACAATAAATAATATGAAATCCTGCTATAATTCCAGGCATTCAACGACCAATCTGTGTACCTGTCCCAAAAATTGTCATTTCTTTCTTCTTTATTGAAAAATTAACTGCATTTACTTTAACGCATTCTTTCAAAATACCGGTACCCGAAATCTGGTTTCACTAAGATGGCCTTTGATCTTCCCAGTGACATAAGAAAATTAACATCGAGTTCTGCCTTCACAGTGCTTTATGCAGACAAAAGTATCGTCAATTAACTTTTGCAGATCCCGAACTGTGCTAAACACGTATACAAAATATCCATGGATTCTGTATTTACATTTTTCCGATCGAAAACAAACCCACATCAAAAAAATGTATGCATAATATATATATCTATATATGTATATAAATGTACACACAGCAAATACTATTGAAAGAAACCCAAGCAGCTGCAATGATGCCAGCTGGTAACACAGCCAAGTTTTGAGAGCTAAAGATCCAACACGGGTTGAATTCAGAATGGCATTTTTTATGTGAAAAATGTGATGTGCCGTACTGCATCAGTACTTATGCTGTATCAAGCAGATAACTAAAACCTATGAGTTTTGATGCTGTACAATAATCTAACAAACAACAGAAGGAAAAAAAAGCAAAAAAAAAAAAAAAAAAAAAATTAAAAAAAAAATAAAAATGTGATGTGCCGTACTGCATCAGTACTTATGCTGTATCAAAAAAATAACTAAAACCTATGAGTTTTGATGCTGTACAAAAAAATAAAAAAAAAAAAAAGAAAAAAAAAGAAAAAAAAAAAAAAAAAAAAAACTTTGACAAAAATATTATGATGAATACATTAAAATGTTACAGGCTATTTACACTTTTTGATTTAAACATGATTTTGTAATGCTAATTTTGCTTTTAAATCATAGTGTTGGAAGAGTTCTAAATGATAAAGCTACTTGGTTTATAAAGTGTATAACTCCAGTTCATGTACAAATGTAAACTAATATGTTTTTCCTTTTGAGGGAAACCTTAAAAATCTGTTTGAAATCAGTCATGCAGCTACGCATGAAATCATTAGTGATACAGTTGTTGGGTTCACATTGCCATTAAAACTAATAAATGAACAGTTTTGATCATTAGCAGAGTTTGCAAGGAACATTAACTCTCGCCTTCTTTGATATGTAACGCATCAAATTTTAAAAAGAAAAGGCATTATTTGATTAACATTTACCTAAAATATGTTGGATAAGAATGAAGAAAAAATTAAATTGTATAAGGAATTGTTACATTTAACTTTACTATCATCCTTTGTTGTTAATTTTCAATCCATTCAATATATAAGTTAGTTATTTAAATATGCTTTATAGGCCACAAAATCATAAGGTCATTTAAGCATGTATACATAACAAAAATGATAATTTAATAATTATAATTAAAATGTATAGATGTTGGTCGTTCCTTAACTGTTCTGTCAGTGTACAGCTATTACAGGCACTTGTTGAGCCAAACAAATGGCAGAGGTCCATAAATAAATTTGAAGTGGTTATAATTTCCTGCGAGTCACCACATTATTGGTTGCCGTTGACTCCATTTGAGACTGGTCTTTTTCGATGTCTGTTCATCACTTGCATGTACTGACCAATCAAATCAGAGATGTCCGAGCCCTGAGAAAAAGAAATGTTGAAATATTTAAAACCAAGTGTTTATGGAGATCTATATTAAAAAAGTTGACTTAAAAAAACAAAAAAAGGCCTGTCTAATTATTATAGTTGTAGCTGTATGATAAATATTTATATCAATCCATTTCAGAAGTAGGACACAACAAATTAGGTTAACACTTAGTTGAAAGAAACGCCTTATTTTTACTGACAGGAAAAACCCAAATCACTTTTCCCCCCAAAATAGGATTACCTCAGAACCACACAAATAATTTAAAAAGAGGGCAAGAAGCCTACCTGGTCAGTTTCGATTCTCAGTATCTGCTGCACCATCAGGTCACCAAGTTTCATGTCAAGGTAGTTGACATTGGTGTCACTTTTGTAGCGGCGCGTTGACAGGACTTCACTGAAGGGATATTTCCTGATAGTTTCGTGGCTGTCTTTTCGCAAGAAGGAAATGCCTTCAAAGTTGACAGCCAGCAGCGATTCACCACTGATGTTGGGGATACTCTGATCATAAAGAAACAATAATTTACTACGCATACATAAATTACAACAACGAATTACATTTATAGAAATATATTATGTATAACAGTTGTTTCTTGAAATGTCATTTGATTCAACCGTAACTGGTAAGGTTGTTTTAAGTGTAGATTTTAACACACCTTTATGAGGAAGAATGTCGATCCAAACAACCGCCAGTTCTTCAAAACATCTGCAAAGTTATATTACATATTTCATTATAGTGTTAAAAATTCATATTCTTAAGGGGCATAATAAATCTTTTCCTAGTAGCATCTTGGAAGAATTATCTATCTTTATTAAACAGTTTTTATTTTATCAAAAGCAATCCCTGTACAAGAGTGCCCTCAGTTTCTATAAATCTAGATTGAATTGACTTGCGCTAACAAATAATATATGCCAACTCACTGATAAACCGAGCCTTGGCCTCTAAGTTTGTCATGCGTGACACTGAGCCCAAATTCTCATGAATTTTGTTCACCCACTGTTGAGGTTTGGCATCTGGAGCATTCCTCACAAACCTTGGCACCAGGGCTTCTAGGTCTTTCCTTGAAATAATACGAGCGTAACATTTGTCTAATAATGTATTTAAGTGAAGGTTTAATTTTAAGGTCTGCTAGGATTACACTATTAAATTTATGAATGATTGAAAAATTTGAGATTTTATAATGACATGTTAAATAGCTCCAATAAAAATGTCCTCAATATATTTTAAAAAAATAATTATAAATATATATATATATATATATATTAATAAAAATGTCTTCAATATATATTAAAAAAATAAATATAAATATATATATATATATATATATATATATATATATATATATATATATATAAATAAAACCCACTCACAGAAGCATTTCAATGCCAATGTATCCTTAGGTTTAGATGTAATTAAAAAAAAATAACAATGACTTCTTATAACTATAAGCAAATGTTTCAATGCTGATTCAGTCCTGGACAATGCAACCATCAATGCGACACAAATGAACACAGATAAGAAAAATTATTGCTTCATTAGACAAATGAGCTGTCCCAACCAAACTGCCTGTGTAAAAAAAAAATTGTAAAGACATAACATGAATAGATGAAAATATTGATCTCTGTCTTACAATGTTACTGTTCCAACCATCTTATTGGCCCTGTGAAGCAGTGCACCCAAATACGCAATATCCGTGGCTGTCTCTTGTGAAAGCTTTCCTGCGGGCGTGATCACCAAGAATCCCTCAATATAGTCCAGGACACACTAGGATGGGGGATTTAAGTTGTGGTTAATCATTGTGGAGAACAAGTAGAAAGAAACTTGTGATTTACATGCATTGATTGTATTTCCTTTCATGTTCATAAAGAAATGTATGATGGAGATGTGGTATATTGCAGACTATTCTGTAAAGGATAATAAATGAAGGAATGCCTTCCTAATGTGTCAAGTAAATAGTAGAACAAGGTTTGTGGAAGCTTCATCGAAAAAAAAATATATTTACTTAAGTGCTATTCATTAAGGCATCTAACGATTTCGTTGATACCTATAATGTACCTTCACAGACTAATCTTGGAAATTATAAAAAAATAACTTTATTTATAATTTAAATTGGGAAGTACAGGCAATCGTTTGTAAATAATTCAAGCCAACTATCTATCCTCCATTCTGCAATGTTGATTCTGATCATCTCTACCTGATGGAACATCATCTCCACGTAGATCTCATTGTCCATGTGCCTGAGAGGGTAAATCCAAACTGTTCTTTGGAAGATGAGGTCAAATGGTATCTGTCTTCTGATGAAGTAAGCCGTTTCATCGAGCACATAATCTTCTCTGTTCAGTTTGCTGAACGTTCCATCGCCTTTAACAGAGGCACAAATAAAAATATACAGCTTTAATGGTCTGATTGAGAACACCAAGTACTCATAACTATTTTTTTAATTTGTTCAATATTTTGTTTCATGAATGTATATTAATACCACGACAGCAGGTCAGAATGCTGGCCCCTCCTTGACCTACCTGTTCTAATAAAGAATGTGTACTCTTCCATCTCAACTGGATCATTGATGTTGAGGCTCAAGCAAACATCTTCAATAGAGTCTTGAACAACCTGACCAAGGAAACAAATGCAATGACTTTTACCATTCTGCCAGGAAAATGTTTGGTCTCCTTTAACATGGTGCACTGTGATTTTAGATTCTGTTTCATTTTTTACATTTTATTTAAGACCAAATTAGTTGAGCCATTTGAAGAAAATTACATTAAATATGAAAATAATGTTTCAACAATTTGTTTACATTATGCCAGAGCCTTAACTATTGGATCACAGAATATTATTTTTTTAAAAATATATCATGTAACCATAAAGTTGGAAAGTTTTCATTAAGTTAACAGAAATATTTACATATTTACAAGTAGCTGGACCGATATAAACTTACAGTGCACGATCTGACTTGAATCATGCCTTCATGGGTGTCAGCACCAGAGTAAAAGAAGGGGAAACGTTTGCAGTTGCGTCCATCCTGTTGACAAATGTTCATTGATTAGTGGCATTCCATTTAAATTACAGCGAACACTGTTAGCATTCCAAGCACTTTAAATAAGAATACAGTGTACAACTTTTTTAAAAACTCAACATTAAAAGAAAAAAAACAAATACTCACTGCCAGGGCAATAACTTCTTCTTTAAGAGGAACATCTTTTCGGCCCCCATACTTAAATGTTTTGCGAAGGTTTGTAAGGCACAGTGCTGCAGCATCTTTTTAAAAAAAAAATTAGAAATTTGAGGTTGTTTGTATAAAATGTCTTGTAGGAACAGTACAGTGTTTTAATAATATTTAGTGTTATCAAATAAAAGAAGTATGAATTGAAATCAACAAACAAAAGAAAACAATTGTTTCATCAGAGAAATGCAGTTTAAAGTACATAATAAGGGTTGTCTCACTGTTATAAGTACGAGATGAGTCTGTTGAAGTGGCCTCCAAGTATTTGAAGAGATAGGGTCTCAGTTCCTTGGAGCAGTCAAAGTAAGCAGCAACAAGGGCAAACAGGCGCCATCCCCTGATCTTGCTCTTACTGCAAGGGAAACATTGCAACATGTTACGGGGCGGTTCTGAACTAAGTCATTGAACAGACTGTTTAATTGCTCTTGCTGCAAGGGAAACATTGCAACATGTTACAGGGCGGTTCTGAACTAAGTCATTGAACAGACTGTTTAATTGCTCTTGCTACAAGGGAAACATTGCAACATGTTACGGGGCGGTTCTGAACTTAGTCATTGAACAGACTGTTTAATTGCTCTTACTGCAAGGGAAACATTGCAACATGTTACAGGGCGGTTTTGAACTAAGTCATTGAACAGACTGTTTAATTGCTCTTACTGCAAGGGAAACATTGCAACATGTTACGGGGCGGTTTTGAACTAAGTCATTGAACAGACTGTTTAATTGCTCTTGCTGCAAGGGAAACATTGC